ATTTTCAGGAAGTAAAACCAGCTATTTTCCCATTAAAAACTTCAGAAATATTTTTCCCCACATAGCACCTCTCATCCAAGAGCACACCACGACTCCCAAAGTACCACCATCACTTCAACCCATATCGAGTGAGAAGATACTGCCCCTGAATGCTCTCAGCGGAGGAGGTGTCAGCGCTCCCCCGAAGTAAATGCCCTGCATCTCTAACAAAGGAGACTCTAAGGGAGGAGCCCTCTTTAAATTGGCACCCAGATGGCCACTGTCACCGAGGAGGAGGGACGGCCACTTCTACCTGACGGGTTCGTCACAGGCCTGCCCCGCCCCGTGAATAGTCTTCCTGGAGCTCTGAGCAGGAAATTCCTAGGACCCCAAAGGGAACACCCAGGGTAGGACCTCGGTGGGAGGCACCCTGTCCAGCCTGGCACTGCACCCTGCAGGCAGGGCAAGTCGGGGGCCCACCCTGCCCAGCACTGTCACCTTCTCCCTGTGTCTCGGCCCCGAGTCATCTGCAGAGACACCGACTGCAGAGCCAGGATCCAGGCAGGAGACAAAGCCCAGCAGATGCCCGAGTGGAGGAAGCTTAGCCTAGAGAACTGCTCCATGGAGCCAACTGCTCCCAGGGCACTGGGGACAGCACTGCAGACCCCGTTGCTGGCCGGTGCGCTGCACAGGGGGCTGCAGAAGCCGGGGCTGGTGTCTGAAAGGGAGTAGTGGCCCAGCCCCTGAGGGAAGGCCCTACCTGGCTGGTGCTGCCACGCAGGACAGGGGTGTAGAGCTCCAATTCAGCAAAACTGAAACCTGAACACTGGACTTAATCTCCTCAAAGTCTCATGTAAAATAATACTATTACCTACTATTTTTATCAGAACCACAAAAACAGGAAGCCTTTAAAAGAAATAACATTTTATGGTGCACATCCTCAAAAGAGCATACTGTCCCCAACGTGGAGAGAGGCTCTCAGACACCCCACAGCTCTGTGGACACAGCTGCCACCTTCCCAAGGGTCCATCCTTCACCAGCAGGGTCACCATGAGCTCTGCTCAGAAACAGCTGGCATCTGGGGCACTAAACAGCTGAAGAGAACACTATCGGGGACTGGGCCCATGTTTGGGGGAATGATCCTGAGCCCAAGACACTGCAAACCGGCTGTGCCCATCACTGACACTCAGTGTGAAACACAACCTCTCCTGGAGGAAAAGACACCAGGTCGGGGTCAACTACGTCCCCAGCTGAACGTGAGACACAGGAGCTCAAACTTAGTCGGAGCAGAGGCTGAAACAGGGCTGCCGCAGGCCTGCCCGGCGGCTGGGAGGCGAGTCGCTGGAGCTCACAGCACCTGGCCAGCACACAAGCCGGCACCAAGGGAACCTGTCCCAGGTGATAGTGCAGGGACCCCCAGGAGAGAGGGACCCTAATCACACTGTAGAGCTAGCTGGCTGTGGAGGGCAAGGCACCGGTGTGCACGCACAGCACAGGGGTCTGAATGCCAGGACACAGACCCCATGAGAGGCTGGCATGTCCCACCCTGTCACTGCTCCTTCCCACCCAAAGTGAGGGCTGGCTCCAGGGCACGAGGCCTGTGTAAACCTCCACCTCCACTCAGAGCCAAGGTGCGGGCCTGCACCCAGCTGAGACGCCCGGAGGCAGGACGCACAGCACACAGCAGCGGAGGCCCGCCTCAGAGGCAGCCAGCACTACTGGCACCACTAGAGTTCCTGTTCCATGTCCCCACCTAATGGGGACACTCTGGCGCTAGAGCATAAATCAGGGTGGTCTCGGTCTGCCTGCGGAAGCTCCCCAATCCCAGACACAGCAGAGTGGAAATGGAAGACTGATCCCCTAGCACAGCCCAGTGACGTGTCTCAGCTTCTCAGGACATCAGCACAGGCCCCCAATGGCTCTACAGTGTACTGTTGTTATTTCTAGTTGTTGACTGGAAATACCCAAATAGCACTTCAAGTCTGAGGCATTAGAAGCTTTTTAGTAATAATAATTTTAAAACCTCTTCTGATTTAAGAATATAGGAAAATAGATTGATGCAATTAGGAATTGTATGGCTGTTCCTACAAATATTCTCTATGAAGGGTCTCCTCTGATTTACAGAAAATGCAGACCCTGCACTCAATGCCGGTTTCAAGTTTTCTTCTGGGTCACTGACCATCCCACAACCAAGGTTGTCAGCTTTACAGTAAGGATTCTATTTTTTAAGTTAAATACCATACTACAGATTGAAAAAGTTAGTCTGAATGAATAATGTTAAGGAAAAGACTTTGGAGTAGCATACTATTTATTAAAAATGCCCAAATGCCAAAAATAAGATGCACATTTCATGGGACACTAGAGGAGGGCTTCTCACCGACACCTCTTGGGACTCGTCCCAGGCCTCACGCAGACGCAGGTGGAAGGCAGGCCGAGGGTGGCCTGGGTCCCTCTGGACGAACGGGCAGCATCCCTGGTTCTGACTCCCCTGCGAGATCCTGGTGCTCAGTGGGAAAAGAGTGACGTGCCCTTGCAAACTACAAAGGCGGGCAGCTCTATGATCATGATTTAAACGGACTCCGTAAGTGCTGGCATTACCCCTCTGGGCTCCAACTAAGCCAGCTGCTGAACGCCGACTGCATGCCTGCCTCCAGGGCATCAGCATCTCCTAGGAGAGGGCTCCACATGCAAAAAATAACCATGATGATGAAGATAAGTGGCTTTGAAATGACCATCTTTGAGAAGAAGTATGTACAACAAATTAAAAAATTAAATGAACAAGTATCTTTTTCTAATAATTCATAAAACTTTGGAATAGAGACAAGAAGTAGCAAGTGTCAAAAAGCATAAAAAATATGTTTTAAATGTAACATTTACAACATTACAGGATCATCACACAAATTCATACTTAACCTTCATGACTGAAACATTTTAACTCAAAAATGGCAATATTAAGTCAATTCTTTATCTTTATTTAATTCTTTATCTTTAGAGGAACTCTTTATATTGCATTTTAAATATGACTACTTTAAACATTTTTAAATGCTATTCATCAAAATTGAACCCCTATAATCTCATGCTGACTAGTGTTTTCAAAAAACCCAGTGCCCTCTGCATTTACATCTTGTTTCCCATATAAAGAATCGCATCCTTTTCTTTCTGTTGATGACAGATTCAAATCAGAAGATTACTGTGAAGATTCTAGGCATAAGACCGTTGTTCTAGGTGACTGAAACACCAGTCTGCACTCAAGTGTCTGAAAGTCACATGCCTCTGCCTGAGATTTGCACTAAACAAACCAGCAAGTCAGACTTACCCTTTAATATTGTATGTCAAAATATTGCCTGTCAATAGCTTGCTGAACTGCTCTTGAACTATCATACTTAAATAATAAGACGAGCATTAGGCTAAATCATTTTAAATACATGATTCACTTATAAACTTTATTTAAAAGTACAGAAATATATAAAGTCCAATACTCAAACTTAAACCCCCACTTGACGAACCTCACTGTGACATCAGCAGCAAAGGGCATGGCTCTTGAATACAGAGCAGCGTGACCCTTCCTCTGGCAACTGCCAAGCCAGCTGCTTTTCCAGCCCTCGCAGGAGACACGACATGAAAACACAGGCTCTCTCACCCACAGAGCTGATCTGACTAACACGCACTTCACTTTTGAAGTTAGCTATCTGACTAGTCTCATAAAGAGGTCACAAAATCCTTCAAAGGGACTCCTTCATTCATGTGGGGGACCTACTGCACAGTGTTTAAATATTTTTGTTCTGTTTTTATGCAATAGGATTCTGTGCAAATAAAGGAAGATGTGTAGGAAAACAACCTTTTCTTCAACAACCTCTCTAAGCAACACTTTCCACAGCATTGCACAAGCCAGAAAAAACCTCTCCTATAGTGACTTGGTGTGTCTTAATTAACCTCTAGGGTATAATGTACCTTTCAAGGGCCTCCCACCCAAGACCAAGGATGCCCCACAGAAAGTAAGTTAAGACACCATCCGTGGGGTCTGCTCACCAACCCCACAGCCTCCACCCTGTTATTGGACTCAGACCTGGGATGACCCCAGAGCCGTCCAGGCCAGCAGGCCAATAGCTCACATTGCTGGGCACAGAGCTGCAGGTACCCGCCCACTGCCCCCTGGGAAAATCTCATTCTGGATCTAACCTCCTGGTCCCACTAACACAGAAGGATGTGGAGCAACATGGGCCATGACAGAACTCAAAACCGTGATTCAGATTCTGGGCTGGCTTTCCCATTCCAACTGCTAAAAACTTCACAGGCTGTCAGACCATATGGGAATTTAATGCAAACCTGGTATAATGTATTAAAACTGTAGATAAAAGGCTTTTTAACCACTACAGTAAGACTCCACTTTTAAAAAATGACACTCTTGAATCCTAATGCAGAGTTAAAAGGCTTTACAAGTCGAACCCTTAATCTGGAAAGCCATTCCAAACACACCAGAGTCAAAATTGTGGTTGTAGTCCTAAAAACACAAGTTTTGTTCACAAGTTTCTTTGACGTTCTTTTGGGTGACAAGGTATCATCATTTGAATGAAACTGAATGAGACAATGAATTCATCAAACTGGCCATTTCCTCTAATCCCAGGTCTTTACCCTCAGCTGTGGGTATTTTTAACTATTTCTCTGTCATAACCAACTAGCCATACCCTGTTGACTCATAAGCACTGCTTCACACCCCTAGGGGCTCACCTGTCACTGAACCCAACCGGCTTGAAGCACTCGGACCCTCCATCAGGTTCTCAGGGATAGCACGTTACTAGAGAGTCAACGACTGGGCCCATAAAGTAACCAAAGATGAATGTGCAAAATCTGACATCCACCATGCTACTGAAATATCTTAAGGTTGAAGATCAAAGCTTGGAGTACTTAATGGTCAGTAAAAGTTAACATGGAATTCAGCAGCAAACTGTTATAAATTGCATCATGCATTTGTAGTTGTTAAACACCTTCAACATAAAGTGTTAAAAAGGGCATGTATACCATCAAAAGGCACTCACTTTATTTTGACAAATCTGGTGCACAGGGCGTGCACAGGCTTCTGCTGTCATGGCTGCGCTGCGGCCCACATTGAGATCCAAGACTCCCACAGCCCTGTTCTGGCCAGTGGCAAGCACGAGGTCTGCACAGCTTGGTTAGGGAGGTCCTCTCACAGCCACCCACGAGGAGGGACAATCTATTTACTGAATTAATAAATTTTAGAACACAAGTTGGTGCTCAAGTAGATGATTAGCTACAATTTCCTGAAGCTCCACGGAAGCCCTGACCAGCCTGCCCCTGTCTAGCAAGGGCTGCTGGACGAGGGGGAAGACAGTGGACGGGGTCACCTGGAGTGAGTGAGGGGACACGACATATGAGACATCCTATTAGGCAAGCAAAATCCATGTTATAAATCTGGTGTATGAGTGACCACCAGAGCTGCCCACCTTCAATGTTTAGCCCATAAATACTATCATAAAAAGTGTGCTTTGTGGAAAAGTTTCTAGAAAGAGTAGATTTCGTAAAATAAACCCAATACTAACACCAACGCATGCAGAGACAATTCTATCAGGACACATTTCTGTTAGGTGGGGTATTACGTTTTTAGCAAAAGGTTATAGCATAAAATTGGTACATTTCTAACTAAAATATATTAGAACCTCTGCCACCTTTTATCAGCCGTTCTGAAGCTTCAACTATAAAAGTCTTAAGAGACTTTAGACTACTGAATAAATTAAAATTTTATATCATGAACTCCAGAAGATTAAAGATTTGCTTCTAAATAAATTAAAATCAATGCTTTCCAACCAAAAGGGATGATGTTAGCCATAAAGACTCAAAATTGAAAATTTTGGACTCAGCTTCATACTCAACAGCAAGCAGTTGCTCTGCGCTTCGCTAGCCCACAGCCAGGTCAACTGGTCGGCTACTCAGAAGATGCCAGCTGCTCGCGTGCAGCGGCTATAAGACATGCCTGCCTGCTGTGTGTTACTCAGAGCACCACAGCTGGGCACCGGTGACACTGCCTGGCTCTGCTCACACTACCAGCTCTTCTTGGCTGCAGCTCTTACCACATGAGATGAAACTGTTACACAGGTAACTAACCGACCCTGAGGACCATGAGCCCCAGGCCCCACAGCACAGTGCCTGGAAGTTGGTTCCTCAGCAGAGGCTTTTGCCAGAAGGATGATGTTCGGGCCGTGAATGCACTGGGAGACCCAGAGAAAGGATACAGGAGTGGAAGTTGTTTANTGCTGATAGCTGGTAATCTCTACTGCAATCGGTCAAGTCAGAAAACAGGTTTGCACCTGCTCTTCTGCTTTTATATATGAAGAAAAATAAAGATGCTCAATCTCTTCCACTACAACTAAGCATTCTCTACATTAAAAAAAAACTGAAAATGAAAACAGGTTTCATATCAATTAATAATCATATTTTATAACACTGAGAATAAGTTGACTACTTTTAATTTTACTTTAGGAAACTCCAGTTTTTCCCTCAGGAAAACTTCATGAAAAAATATCATTACATGTAGCCAAAAATAATTGATTTCTGTCTAACAAGAAAGCAAGTTTTTGCTTTCTAATTCTGAAATAATGATGTATACTTTAGGAGACATCCAACCGGCCATATGTCCTTAATATTTTCTGAAGGGTAACATGAGCAGTTAGTGTAACTTAATGAACATGTAGTCTTAACATCCCCTAACAATTCTGTCACAAAGGAGAGGAGCCCACTGGCAATCCTGGGTGTGCCCTTAGCCCAGGGAGGGCAGAGCTGGCCCGCAGGTGATGGGGCAGGTTCGTCAGCCTCAGTGTCTGAATCCGTGGGGCCTTGGAGGGCAAGGATGGAACAGCAGCACAGAAAAGCAGCCTCAGTGAGACGCTGGGGGCCCGCAGTCCAGAGCCCCATAATGTGGAGCCTTTAGGGTTTGAGGCTGGGCCTCCACCTCCAGCTGATGCCATGCACGTGAGCTAAGCAAGGCAGCCACTGCTGGAGAAGGGCCCTGAGGCAGTTCTCAAGCAGCGTCCATGAGCCCTCAGACGGAGCAGAGGTGGGGCAGTCCCCCTGGAGGCCTACCACCCACGGGGCCACGGTCTCCAGGGCCCAGCTTCGCCATGCATCAGACCCACCCTTGCCTGCAATCTTCTGGAAGCCCAGTAAGCTTCTTCAGGGAACCATATTGCCAAAAAGCAAGACACTAAAAGTGCCTGGTTAGCAACAACCAGAAACCACTCAGTTCCTAAAGCAATCCCTGCCCCCACTCAACACCAGCAGAGAGCAGTCCAGGGGAGTGACATCATTGATCCACCTCCCGAGACAGAGATTGGGACCCCACAACACACCCAGGCTCCGGAGAATGTCTGCACCTCAGGGAAGTCCAGGGGCCAGGAGCCCTGGCTTGTCCTGACTGGGCAAGTAATAAAGGCCAGCGGCACGTCCACCTTCCCCTCCTGCCCCTGCGCGGGGCTCTCCACTGTGCCACGGCCCGCCTGGGGAGGGGCGAAGAGCAGGTTCTTTGTGCGTCCACCACCAACACCGCTGGGACAAGGCCCTCGACAGCATGGCTTAGAGGCCATGAGGGCTTCCTCCCAGGCAGGGGTGAGTCCATTTCAGGCATGGGCATGCCCATGGGGAAGGATACAGGCTGGGATGCTGCAAGAGGGTGACAGCACCCAGGCTCCAAGCAGGAGCAGGGAGTGACCTCAGGGACAAATCACAGCCCATCCACACCCAGATGGGGGCTCAGCCCCTGTCTCCTGGCCAAGTGGCTGACCCAGATATAAGCAAGTGTGCTGGCCCAGATCAGGGAACTGCTGCTGTACGGTCTCCCTTCACAATTATAATGTATCAAGCTACCTGAAAAGGTGATTAATGCACATTTGCCCACAAGCCTCCAGGCAAGCTCAGGTCCCAACACGAGCTCAGACTCCTGACACAGCCTTCAAACCCACATACTCCTAGAGAGGTGCACAGACAGACTGACCCAAGATGCCCACCCACATCCAACGTCTACAGGCAGCAGCAATTTGCCCAGATTTCAGGCTTTGACAATCCCTGACCAGACACTCCAAAGACTGGTCACAGCCCCAAATGCCAGGCGTGCTCCCAGGGGACTCCGGCCTGCAGGCTTCAACAAGGTCTCCCCAGTTCATCCTGCTGTAAGAACTAGGGATTTGCAGGCTAGAGCCACAGCAGCCACCTTGAAATCATAAAGTGAGAAACAGCAGAATAGACCAGCACACACTCAGAGTGAAATCATTAAGTCTGAACAACAGGAAGTCAGTAACAACCCAGATGTCCCTCAACAAAAGAATGGGTAAAGAAGCCATGGATGGAAAGCAAACACATCAAATTCAAGATGAAGAAAAAGGAGAGAGAACAGGTCTGAGAGGGCAGGTCACTCATTTTATCTGTAATGTTTCTTTCTTTAGAAAGTTTTGAAAACAAAGAAAGCAACACATTACTATTTGCCAAAGCTAGGTTAGCTCAGCAGATGTTTAGCATCCCATACACACACACACACACACGTGTATATATGAGATATTTCAGAGTTTCATTATAAATAGTAATAGTCTCACATGACATCAGTTCGATCTGCTGCAGAGCCAAGGCCCTGGCTGCGCTTCCTCAGCTCCACAGCTTCTTAGCGTGGAACAGCCGTCCTCAGATGGCAGCACAGAGACCCCACAATGCAGAGGAGGCCTAGACGGCTCTCCTGTAAGGCATCACTAAATGCTGGCTGACATCTGTAAACACTTTATTTGCATATAGCTTATTGCTGAAATGTGGAGGGAAGGCACATCAGGGGGGCCACCTACCTCTTTATGTCATCTTCACAAGTGCCAATGTGATACTTCAGCAGGTGGAACTCAGGGCCAGAAGATAACAATATAAAAGCATCTATGTAATAAAACTGTGCTGCATATTGTATAGGCTTAGAAAACACACCTTTGCCCGGTAATACAAATCAGTAATTATTACCAATACAGTGTTTTTAAAAAGCACTACTGCTCTATGTTGCTTCGTCTTAACACCAAACATCTGTTTATTCTAAATGTATAGACACACTTTGTTAGAACCAATTTACGACTTTTGTTTCTTCTTCCTGACTTTTAAAAGATGTTACGTGATTAAAATTTCACTGTAATGAGTGTTCTAGCCACTTAAAACCTTAAAAGAAAATTGAAACTAGACATGTTTCAAAGTGTAGTTCTGACTCTGGTGTGTCTCTCACTGATCCTTCAGAGCCGGCAGCAGCACAGCGAGCAGCCGACAGAGCCGACCACCCAAACATGAGCGCTCTTCTGTAAGCCACTGCCAGACGCCGCATCCAGCAGAGCCCGAGGCAGCTGGGCCTCCTTTCCTGGCCACACTCTTCCTGTGGCCACAGGCTCAGGGAGTAAATGCTGACAACATGCAGACCTGCCAGCTCAGTCTGGTGGACACTGCACCCTGTCGCTGCCTCTTCTGCCCTTTTAGCCATAAGAACATTGTCACCTGGCTCGCTTTTCTCGTCATTTCCAAATATTGCCATGAGTTCATGAGAGCAAATCATTTTCTCACGTAATGTCCCCTTGGCCACTGTTATCACCTCTGCTATAAAAATCACATTGAATTCACACGCATTATTCCAGTATTTTACGTTTCATCCTTCTGCCATTTTTGGACCATACAAATGTAAGAAATATCTAATCGTGTGCACGTGTGCACGTGTGCATGTGCATACATGTATTGTATGCTCATGCATTTAAGAAGATACGTCATCACCAAGCAATGTTTATGCATTGAAGCAAACCCCTGCTGTGCCCATTCCTGAGCTCCTGGAGAGGGAAACACCACCCTTGGAGACAGTTCTGTCTGGACAGTGTGACTCTGACAGACTCAAGGTCAAGGGCTGGGCGCTACAGACCCCTGCCGAAAATGGATAGGAATTGCCCATTACTAGACACAAGGCAGGTTCCGGCCTGCCAGCCGACCACACCCTCAGCATCCTGTCCTGGGAGGCAGACAGCAGCCACTGGCCGTCCTGGCTCCAGCACACGGTACTCACCGCCCCATCGTGACCCAACAGAGGACAGACAGGAGGGGCCCAGCATTTTCACCAGCTCCAGAACTGCACCAAGCACCCAGGGGAGGTGTTTCCCAGCTACAGTGACACCACAGAACCAAAGGCTTAACATGGTTTCTGAAGGAGGTGTTTTAAAGGAGCAAAAGATGAAGAAACTTACAAAATGCACAGACATCTGTGGGTTTCAAGATAATGCATTTTAAAGCACTGTTACTGTTTTTTAACACTGAAGGAGAAAGTCAATGGATGTACTGAACAGTCACATGTGCTCTGATTATTTGTGATCATTTACTGCATATTCTCCTTTTACAGAAAAGACATGGATGCTCAGAAAGGGAAGGCAGGCTTCTGTGCGCAACACTGGTTGTGCTGGGCACTGGGCAGAGAGTCTGGCACTGCCACAGTCACCCAGACCACCGTCCGGCCGGGGCAATAGCACACTGTGCAGGGCTCAGCCCTTGTCCACCTCAGCTGACCCTCAACCGCAGCTCTGAAGCATGAAGAGCCGAGGAAAGGCATGGGCAGATGGCAGGTTTTGGAAAAGAAACCCATGAGTCTGTATGACTGGTCAGCAACAGAAAGAGGGCAGCTGGGTGCCCATGTGACGGGGACACGGCAGGTCAGAGAGCTGGATGTGCTGGACCACCAGGAACAGACACAGGACAGGGCATTTTGCTGGGTGCCCGGGGACAGAGAGACAGGACAGGGACCCGGGGAGGGCTGATGACAGTTCTAAGCTCAGGCCCCATGTCTAGAATGCCACGACCCCCAACCTTGCTGAGCCGAGCCGCCCCTTTAGGTTTGGGATCCAGGCTTTTGGACTGAAAGCGTTGGAAGTGGGAGAGCAGTTCTGCACACAGGGACCTCCCTCCTACTGGCTCCTGCCGCTCAGCAGGTCTCAGCTCATGACTCACACTGAGTATAAAGGTTAGACATGAGGTGCCATGTCACCATGTCACAGCTGTCAGAAAACCAGCAAGAAGAAAATGGAAAAACCTAGGAGACTGAACAGCATCCCTGCTCTGCACCAGGACCCCGGCAAGCCTACAGCCAATGCCCGGGCAGAAATTATCTGAAATGGCTCTGCTGCCCTCTGCTGTGAATTTCAGGAGTCTCCCAGGCATGGAAGCAGGCATGTGGGACGCATGACCCTGCATGGAAGCCCCACAGGCCACTCCCAGGTGTGCTGCATGGCGCCGCTGGGCCCAGGCCCCAGCAAGGAGATCGGGCTTGCGGCCAGCCCCGCACCATCCCACCCTGGGGCTGTCCATGAGCCAGTGTGGCTGCTGAGCAGCTCCTCCTCCAGGGACCTCAGGTGAGGTGGCTCAGACCAGTACTGATACTAGATACATTCTTCCCTCCCAGGTGGCCACCCATGTGGACCGGGGACACCCTTGCCCCATCCCTCCCGTTGCTGACAGTGCTCCAGATGCCCAGACAGCAGACGACTAAGCTCTCCCAGCATCTCTCCCAGCCTAGCCACTGTATAGGGGCAGTCTGCTGGTGCCTGGCGACGCAGTACAATGCCCTACCCAGAGCTTCAGCTGAGTGCCAGCACAGCCCTGTGCCACTCCACAGAGAACCAGAGCCCCAGCCTTCCCACCAGGCCACTCTAGACACACCCCTCACTGCGGTGCGCACACTGGGTCCCCAAGCCAGGGCCCCAGGACCAGTGGATCGATGGGCCTAGGGGCCTCACAGGAAGGCCCTTTTCCTTGTCTCCTCAATCTCATCACTGCACCAGAACCACACTTGTGATGTCTGTGTCCCCATGGTGTGCAGGGCTGTGATGAACTCAGACACAACAGCACCCGAAACCCTGGCCTGCCCCTTCCCAGCTGACCGTGTGGAGGCCTCACGCAATGGGAGCGCCCTGTGCTCCCCAAGGAACACAACACGGAAGGCAAAGACCCAGCCAACCTCAGGTGAAGAACAGGCCAGGAAGCAAGACATTGTGAGCCGAATTTCATCCTTCATAAGAATCTGCTTTTATATAATTACATAATAATAATGAAGTCTTAACTAAATTAATTTTCTGAAGGGCTGACATCAGAATTTAACTGTTAGACGCCTTGGGCACATCATCACAAGAGGTGACCCTCCTGCAACGTACCCACATATGTCCATGTGTGTCCCTGGGCATCTGCCCAGTTCCAAGTACAGGCCAAGAGCAGGGGTTGCCCCCAGTCTTTGTACCAGACAGCCATGTTTGATGGTCACGTCCTAAATCCTAAAGCAAATACATAAGCACTCACTACATGAATAGGTCTGTGAGCAGCCACTCAGACTGGGATACTCGCAGGCTGTGCGCGCTCAGGGGCCCGAGTCCTCCAGGAGGGAGGTTTAATTTAGCATCGCATTTTAACCACAATCAAAATATCCTTATTTGTCTTAGATTGCAATGAACATAAAATCACCCATTATTCTGCTTTCTGGGTAAGTGCTGAGAAACCAATCATGTTCTCAAAGTTGAGTGGTGAGACTATTAGCCAAGTAACCACAAAAGATGAAAACAGGCGAGGTGGGCATGACACCCTTGTCCACAGAAGCAGCACTTCTGTAAAAGGCGAGTTTGAATGTGCGCTGTGTGTGTATCCTTCAGCAAGAAGCCCTTTTCCAACAGGGAGACGCCCATGAACCACACCATTACCACGGGCATCGGCTGGGCTCCAAGATGACGCCCACTAGAGCACCCACCAAGCACCTCTACGGGAGCATCACAGGATATACTGCAGCCCGGTTGGGTGAGGGAGAGTGCACCCACATCCCTGCAGGGGCCATGGCAGGCCTTGGGAGCAGCCTGCGCCCCAGAGAGACAAGCCTTCTCCACCCCACTCCACCACCCCCACTCTCTGGTCCACAAGAACACATGGACTTGTGAGAGGTGTTTGGTTTTTTGGGTTGTTTTGGTGTGTAAAACATCGGGCAAATGTAAGTAGGGAGGAAGCAGCATCCGGAACCCAGTGAAGACACGCAGGCGTCAGGACTACACCTGTGCGTCAGAGGGCGGGACAGAGACATAGGCCTCCCAAGGTCGTCTACAATCTGCCTGCCTAGAACATCATTTGCCTCAATACCTTTATAAAAATATATGTCACAAACCCTACTAACTGTCAGATGATATCTGACCACATGTCCTAAGACTCACACCACAGCCCAGAGAACCACAAGAGCTCTGGCACCTGCCCTGGGCACCTGCTGTCAAGCCGCAGGGGCATGCCTGCCCAGTTCGGTGAGACCCCAGGGAGCCTCGTCATTCCAGCCGCAGTTCAAGCTTGGTTCTGTTCCATTCTTGTTTTGAAGGACATTTAGCAGCTAATAAACAAGAGCAAAATGAGCCCAGCTATACATGGACACTAACTAAATTACGCCCGTTTTACCTGGGAAAACAGGTGTCCCAGTAAGATCAGCATTGAAGACCAGGGCCAAGTGGTTAGCTAAACCACAGGCCAGCTGCCGGCCATCTCCTGCTTAAGTAAAACATGCCCCCTTGTCAATCACAACTCACAGGAATCAGACTTGCAACAGGTAAAAGGTAGAATTTTAAGTTAACTTGATGTTTTCTTTTTCATGGAGTGAGAAAACCTTAAACAAGCAGGTAACAGGGTTTACTCAGTTGCCCACTGGCCAGCACCGAGGTCCATGGGCCCAGGCCCGGTGGAGGCCCCCTACCTGTCCAGAGCCTGTACTGGGGAGGACCCCGAGGAGCAGGAGGAGAGGCCGAGGGCCAGGCAAGAGCCAGTGCAGGACCCAAAGCTCCTGAGCCCCTGGGCGTGTGCGCTCAAGCCTGGAGCTTCTGGCCTCCATCCACATGCTTCCTGAGGGCCACGATTGGCTCAGCAGCTCTGGCTAAACACTCCCTGAAACAGAGTGGGCTTAAATTACAGACCCCCCCCCATAATATTTAAACTTAAGGACCCTGTTTGTATAACCCTGCTCAATAAGCAGGCACAAGCGTATTTATTGATAATACTACATATCCAATCTCTCAAAATCATTCAACAATTCTTTGACCAGAATTACACGAGAAACAGAATTTGCACAGTTGCAAATGATTATAATTAGGAATGCACTAATGCCCCCTGGGCAGCTGTCTGGCCCAGGACTGCTGGGGGTGAGGTGGGTGCTCTGGTATGCAGAGGCCTTCATCTGCCCTAGACTGAGGGCAGAGACACATTCTCCCTGGAAGCAAACCTGCCGGCAGACACAACGTGCACATCTGAACACAGAGCTCGAAGTGCAGGGCCAGCTGGTGACAGCGCCTCCTGACTTCCTCCTGACTTCCCTTAGAGAAATGCTGAGGTCCAAGAAGCCTAGTAAAGGCCTTTCATGCTCATGAGGACAGTGGTGACCACACGGTTGGGAAGCGCTGGGCCCCCTGGAAAGGCTGTCTGCAGAGGACAGTGCTGACACATGGCATGCAAATCAGCCACTGAGCAGCTTTTTTCAACCCACCGACGAATGAGATGACCACATCTCTGGGAAAAGTTGAGGACCACCGTGCACCTGCTCTTCACCTGTGATAACCCTGTGAAGTTCATAGGGGAGACCCTCATGCCCACAAAGCACCCACCTGTGTGTGAGCTCGTCTCTCCAAATCCAGGCCTAGAGCTATGGGAGGCTGTGCCAGGGGCCCCAGGCTTGAGGGACTGAGCCCAAGCTTTCATGTGGACTCAATGCCAGATGACTTTAAGTTACCAAGACTGTAAAAATCTGTTTCAACAGAATAAGGGGGCAGAATAAGAGACTCACAGAGGCAGCAAAGTACCAGCCCTGAGACCTGCATACCTGAATACTGGACGCAGCACACGGCGGCCCAGCCACAGGCCACAGCAAGCTGCCTGCTGCGTTTGGTCAGCAGAGAATGCTCCAAAAGGGGTTCCCTACTTCAGGAAGGTCAGAGAAAATAAAGATCAAAAAACAGTGGACAGTGAGGTCAGAAATATGGTGGATTTCCTCATTCACATGTGTAATTTTATTCCATCAAATTCAAATACATATAAATATAAACTCTCACATTCAAAATCATTGAATTACTCCTTAAAATACACTTTTACTCCATAGAGCCAAAAATCTATGCATTTTAAATAGAAAATGCCAAGAACTTCCCATGTTTAATATCAACTGACATGAATACTGTGATGACTCGACTGTACTAAGACATTTTACTTTACAGTAATCTACAAATAGGGTATATCTGCTATAAAGATAACCACATTGCCAGTTTCTAAAAGAAACCAAGGAAGACTCAGGAAGGTGCCACCGCAGCGAAGCAGCATGGCCCCCCTCAGTGCAGCCCCACTTTTTGGCAAACCCCACTTGTTCAATTTCAGTGATGGGTCATGCAGCCTCCAGGTGACAGCAAGGCCACAGGTAAGGGGGCCAGTCAGGTGCACTCCATGTCCTTGCCTCCTCAGTCCCAGAATCCAGCGTAAACTGGCATGAGGACACCTGTTACCCTATACTCCGCTAGAGAAGCAGAGAAACACAGCAGGGCTGGCAGTCGGCAAGGAAAGTGGCTATGCTACAAGCTCCTTAGTCTGAGCCACTGAACAATGAACTTGGTGCACCTGTGCCCACCGCCCATGCTCAGTGCAGAATAGGACTGCCCGCTTTGCAAGCCTGCCTCACAGCAGGCAGCGCCATCCTCTCAGTGTCAAACCTGGTAGGTGCTCGTGCAAGCCTTTCTCTGAGAACTCTTGCCTGCAGCCAGGACACTGTTTGGGTCCTCACCAGCACTGCCACCTGCAACCCCTGAGCCAACATCAGACAGCTTGCTCAGCCCTGAGAGCCAGGCTCCTCAGAGCACAGACGACCACCAAGGGCACTTGGCTTGGGTACAGCCTCAGTGTCCCTGACCTCCCGGCAGGGGAGCGACAGGCTGGAGAGCATCATAGCACCAGGCAAAGCCAGCACGGGCAAGCGCGTTTCGACCCGAGGGCTGTGCAAGTACAGACCAGATGTGTTCTGGGGCCCTAGTCTCCGTTTGGATGATGTAACCTTAAAGTGTGGCCTGGGAGGGCCCTGGAGGTTCCCCCAAACACCTTCTTGTACAGGTCAGTGGGGCCCAAGGAATTTGAGGCCTCGTCCACAGTCATGCGGATGGTGTAGGGCCAGCGCCATAAGGCCAGCCCCAGGTCACAGGGCTGCCAGATAAAAGGACGCATTTCCAGACCTGTGAGCTGGCCCTGGGCACTCGGCATTCACACCGAGCACTGTACCTGCTCAGATTTTATGAAGCTTAGGTGCTTAAGAGTAAGAACCTTATCAATAGTAATCATTAGCTACAATACTTTCTAAATGAAATTTTAACAAAAATTAAATATTCCTAAGTTGTAAAGGTGGGTAGAAGCAAGTTTGAAAAATGATTAATATGAAAGAATTAAATTGGACTCAAAGATATACATATATACACATACTTGTGCATCTACGTATACACATACACACTTATAAGGTCTTGTAATGGGAAAAAAAAGTATTTAAAGGTCTCTTCAAAATTATTTCAAATTGATTTCAAGTGCACAAACCAAGTTACATACCATTTGTAACTGTTCTTGCATTTTGAAGATCTTTTACCAACATTTTGGTATTTGTCTTTGGTGAAAACATAGTTACACTGTGGAAAAATAACTGTCACTCTCCAAGATTAAAAGTTCTAAGCTTCTTAAAACACCTGTATTTTGCAGTGAAAATATAAAGACACAGATGTTTTCAGTGTCCCATTAGTAATAAACTGAATATTTAAGTACTTTAACAGCATTTTTCCAATTATAAATTTACATTGGTTATTTCACTACTGAAAAATAAAGTGTATTTGGGTAGAAATTCTGGAAAATATTATGCTATTTACTTACAAATTGTAGATGACTAGAAAAAAATCAAGATAGTCATTTTGTAAAGATCGCATTGTAAATTACTGATTGATCATATTTTGTGAGATTTGTGTGATTTATAAATCATAAAAGTCACTAAGTAAGAATGCTCCTTGAGTACAAAATATGATTCTTATGAGATTGTTTCTTTTTGGAGCACATTTATATAATCGTAACAGAAGTCAAAGTTAATTTATGGACACTATTTTACAACTCTACTCAGAAATATTAAGTGAAAGGTACTGGGAAGTCACAGTGAATTCTCCCCTTAATAAACAAGATTGTTAAATACTGGTGGTAATTAAACAATGGTCTTACACCAGAGACACTGAGAAGACCATGCTGAGTCCTGGCCTGGAGCTGAGCCCCTGCATGGCCCGAGGACAGCCACTCCCCACCTGTCTTCCCAGCACTCAGCAGGCAGCACCCAGAGCCTCCAAGCTGGCTGCAGGATCCTCAAGCCCCCAGGTGCTGATGCGGGGCTGGGGCCTGGAGGAGGGGCCCAAGCCCCTAAGAACAGGAGGAAGGGCTCCAACCCTGCTGAGGAGGACCAGCCAGAAATGAGCAGAGGAGACAGGCCAGAAAGGGAGAAGGGCACGTCAAGGCCAGCTTCTCTTCCATCTGCCCTCATGCTGCCCCAGGTGCCCATGCTACATGTCCTGACCAGGTGACCCCATTTAAAATCCCACCACCACCCTGTACTTTTCCTATAGTTCACACATCTGGGTTGGTTCCCAGGGCCATCCATGGTCTGGACCCTGGACACTGTTTGGGTCCTCACCAGCACTGCCACCTGCAACCCCTGAGCCAACATCAGACAGCTTGCTCAGCCCTGAGAGCCAGGCTCCTCAGAGCACAGACGACCACCAAGGGCACTTGGCTTGGGTACAGCCTCAGTGTCCCTGACCTCCCGGCAGGGGAGCGACAGGCTGGAGAGCATCATAGCACCAGGCAAAGCCAGCACGGGCAAGCGCGTTTCGACCCGAGGGCTGTGCAAGTACAGACCAGATGTGTTCTGGGGCCCTAGTCTCCGTTTGGATGATGTAACCTTAAAGTGTGGCCTGGGAGGGCCCTGGAGGTTCCCCCAAACACCTTCTTGTACAGGTCAGTGGGGCCCAAGGAATTTGAGGCCTCGTCCACAGTCATGCGGATGGTGTAGGGCCAGCGCCATAAGGCCAGCCCCAGGTCACAGGGCTGCCAGATAAAAGGACGCATTTCCAGACCTGTGAGCTGGCCCTGGGCACTCGGCATTCACACCGAGCACTGTACCTGCTCAGATTTTATGAAGCTTAGGTGCTTAAGAGTAAGAACCTTATCAATAGTAATCATTAGCTACAATACTTTCTAAATGAAATTTTAACAAAAATTAAATATTCCTAAGTTGTAAAGGTGGGTAGAAGCAAGTTTGAAAAATGATTAATATGAAAGAATTAAATTGGACTCAAAGATATACATATATACACATACTTGTGCATCTACGTATACACATACACACTTATAAGGTCTTGTAATGGGAAAAAAAAGTATTTAAAGGTCTCTTCAAAATTATTTCAAATTGATTTCAAGTGCACAAACCAAGTTACATACCATTTGTAACTGTTCTTGCATTTTGAAGATCTTTTACCAACATTTTGGTATTTGTCTTTGGTGAAAACATAGTTACACTGTGGAAAAATAACTGTCACTCTCCAAGATTAAAAGTTCTAAGCTTCTTAAAACACCTGTATTTTGCAGTGAAAATATAAAGACACAGATGTTTTCAGTGTCCCATTAGTAATAAACTGAATATTTAAGTACTTTAACAGCATTTTTCCAATTATAAATTTACATTGGTTATTTCACTACTGAAAAATAAAGTGTATTTGGGTAGAAATTCTGGAAAATATTATGCTATTTACTTACAAATTGTAGATGACTAGAAAAAAATCAAGATAGTCATTTTGTAAAGATCGCATTGTAAATTACTGATTGATCATATTTTGTGAGATTTGTGTGATTTATAAATCATAAAAGTCACTAAGTAAGAATGCTCCTTGAGTACAAAATATGATTCTTATGAGATTGTTTCTTTTTGGAGCACATTTATATAATCGTAACAGAAGTCAAAGTTAATTTATGGACACTATTTTACAACTCTACTCAGAAATATTAAGTGAAAGGTACTGGGAAGTCACAGTGAATTCTCCCCTTAATAAACAAGATTGTTAAATACTGGTGGTAATTAAACAATGGTCTTACACCAGAGACACTGAGAAGACCATGCTGAGTCCTGGCCTGGAGCTGAGCCCCTGCATGGCCCGAGGACAGCCACTCCCCACCTGTCTTCCCAGCACTCAGCAGGCAGCACCCAGAGCCTCCAAGCTGGCTGCAGGATCCTCAAGCCCCCAGGTGCTGATGCGGGGCTGGGGCCTGGAGGAGGGGCCCAAGCCCCTAAGAACAGGAGGAAGGGCTCCAACCCTGCTGAGGAGGACCAGCCAGAAATGAGCAGAGGAGACAGGCCAGAAAGGGAGAAGGGCACGTCAAGGCCAGCTTCTCTTCCATCTGCCCTCATGCTGCCCCAGGTGCCCATGCTACATGTCCTGACCAGGTGACCCCATTTAAAATCCCACCACCACCCTGTACTTTTCCTATAGTTCACACATCTGGGTTGGTTCCCAGGGCCATCCATGGTCTGGACCCCGACCCTTTGGGCTTCCACACATAGCCCCATACTCAAGACATGCCTTCACAGTGGACTCTAGGAGTCCACACCTAACACAGCGGCTGAGCCATCCACAGGCTTGGGGCATGGGCTGCTGTGTGATTTCACTGAGGCATGAATCCAGAGTTCATCCATCCATGCATCCACAATCCATTCATATATTGATCCGTGTCCACCCACCCACCGAGCCACCCATCAATCCACTCTCCATCCTCCATCCCTCTATCCACACCCTGCATCCATCCATCTACCCACCCATCCATCCACCCAACGGTAAGTGCTTTGTGAGAGGGTCTGAGGTGCCTGGCACTGTCCCAGGCCCAGGGTTTTGTAGAACAGATAATGAGTAAAACACAGCCATGCTCGCCAGTGGTGGTGCCAAAGAGAGAGAAGCAGGAAAAGGCCACAAGGGAGAGGTGGCAGAGGCAGTGATCTTATACAGAGCAGCAGAGAAAGGCCACCCTCGCCTCCCCTCACCCATCCCCTATGGTCATCACTGTGGCCAGTCCAGGACAAAGATAATCTGAGGCCTGGTGCACAGTAAGCACTCAGTGAATGCTGTGATCAGGACATTCTGTGGGCTGACTGCCACATTCTAACTGCCCTTTATGTGTGCCCACCCCTACACGGCCCTCGGGGACACGTTTCCATCCTTTTACGACACAGCCTCTATGAGGTGGCGCATTTCTGTTTCTGCTCCGACGTAAGTGGCTGGTGAACTAATTTACTCTCCATGGTACAGAAGCGTTCCCAGACGACCTGACCAGCTGTGGAAAACCAGTGCTGGTCCTTTGGGACACTCCATACAGCTGTGCAAAATGAGCATAAAGCAGCAGCAAATTACTGACCACTGCACATTCATTATGGACATGACAAAACATAGCTCCTTAAACAGACTCACATAAATAGAATGAATTTGACTTGTAAATGTAAGGTTTCACACCTGCTGCCAACTGACCAGTACAAGCAAAGGCTAAATGAGGGCATTAAAGCATAAGAAAACAACAGAAAAATGTTTTTCCCATTCCTTACATAATCCGGAATTGCAATGTTTCATACACTTCAAATATTTAAGGATTAAAATGACAGAGGGGCATCTGGAGGACACTACACTGCAGTGGCCTGGGCCACATGCAAAGCTCGGTCTATGTGGAAGTCTTTCCATGGGACCCTAAAAACCAGCCAGCAGGGGGCAATCCCCTCTACACGTGGGTGTCAAATACAACTCAACTGTCTTGCCAATGGGTTTCAGACCCGGGCAAGTTCTTTACGGATTCAATGTGACCAAAGAAATTGACAGCAAAATGTTCCTGGGGTGAAAGGGTTATACCCAACTTTATTTCCAGGTGACAGGTCAGTCACTAGAATCCATTCACTCAGAGCGAGTCTGCATGCAGCAAGCCAGTCTCTACCTCTGGGCCCCCCTCTCTGCACAGCCGTCCTCTGGGGGTCTCTGCCTGCACAGCCATCCTGCACAGCCATCCTCTGGGCCTCTGTCCTCAGCCCTGCCACCACTCCAGCCTCTACTCTGCTCTCCAGCAGCCTTACAGCCCTGCCACCATGTCACGCCCAGAGCACGGGGCAGAGCTCTTTATATAGAGTCAACAGCCATGTATTGCCCACAGGTGTGCAGTGAGCTAGTCAACCAGGGCCAGGTGAGAACCCTGGCCACGGGAACTCTCATTTTATCAATAACAACCTTTCTACAAACAAGAACAGCAATCATCTTAAATAAATTCAGATTTCTCTTCTATGATTCTCCTTATTATATGATGACTAATAAGAAAAGTAAGTCACTAAAAATAATTACATCAGCACATTTTAATTGCAAGTTACTTCTCAACCTATTTGTAATGTAAGTTTTCTGCAGCACTGCTCACTGACAGCCCTGACAGTGCATGAACTTACCACAAATACTTACAAATCTCAAAAATGCTTTCAGACAAAAGAAAATTCTGCCAGAATTAGTTATTTTTACATGCATTTAATGCTTGGTATTCACTATGGATATTCTGTAAATAAAATGGCTTTAGAAAAATAGAATATTGAGTAATTCTAAAAATAGCTCTCTTCTCTTAACAAAGAAATTCGCTTGTTTCTGGCACTACTCCAAACCTGGTAACTTGAACCATATTTCCATCAAACAGCAAGTGAGCCAAACGAGCAGAACATCCATATGAATTCATGTGATCAAGAGCCACAGAGGGTTCCCGACTCAGTGGCTCACAGGAGGCAGAGCTCCGCCTGGCCGGGAGGCTGCCTAGGGTCGGGCCCAGGCCAGCACCGAACGGAGCCAGGACACCTTTCCCGCCTCAGCGCCAGGGAGGGAGGAAAGCGTCCTCCAACAAAAACTGAGCCAACAGGAAAATATTCTCAAAGTAAGATGAAAAAGCTACAGACCCAGTGTCCTTGATTATGAGAACACCTTTGAATTTCTAGAATGAAGTTCATAATACATAACTGCATATTATTTTAATAAATGCTTTAAGCAATAAAATATAACTTTCTCATATATGCTTTTTTCATTATTTCTATTTGCTTTTCTAAGTACAGGTGTGCTGATTTTTTTATTATGGCATTACTATGAATCAGTCATCTTCATGAATTTTCCATGTGAATATTTTCCAAACAACGCATAAAAGGGTGATAAAATGCCAACACTTGGAAACTTCAACACTCTCTGGATAAAGAGAAATTTAATCTCTGTGTTAACCTTGTGTTTATACAGCTGTTCTTACTAAGGGCTTTGTTGTAAAATCTAAGTATCATTAGTTGTGAGGCATACAGAGCTCATCCTGCAAGGAATTTTGAGTAAAAATATATTCATAGTTTTGGACTATTATCTAAACAACTTGGTATTATTTCAACTATTAGCAATTTTAATTTATATTTTTCACCAATTTTTCAAAAATACTTTAATAGGAATATATATATATATATAACATAAAATTGTTTGGGGTATTAATTAAGGCCACTATTCAAAAGAGTTTTTACATTGCCCAAGAATATGAAGGAGATGCGGGGGTTCTTGTTTGCGGAGTCGAAGAATGAACTTAGCAAACAGTCAAGGTAGGAGAGCCAGGGAGACTTTTATTGAGAGAGACAGTGAGAGGACAGAGCGAGCTCCTGGCCCTAGCCAGGTGGACACAGGAGAGCCCAGGGTGATAGGCAATTGAGAGACAAAGAGCTAGGGATGCAGACCCACCAGATGGTCTCTAAATGTTTATCTTTAAAGAGACACTAAGTTTCTTATCAGGTTTCCAGACTATTTTGCAGAGTTAACATAAGAAATTTACTACTTAGTTCTTTCCCAGAATAGCAGTTTCTTGGTTTGGGAGCCTATCAATCAAGGCTGCCTGTCCTGCTCTCAAGGTGGGCTGAGTTATTGTCTGTTTGTTAAATAATAAGAACCTCACTTCGTAACTTCTTGGGTGTTAAATTGCAATCTCATCTTTAAGGTGGAATCCTTCCTACCCTTCACTATGTTGTTTACGGCTGGGCCTGCCGGCCATATTAATTGCCCAGGTTATATATTATGACTTGATTAGGGGCAGGAGGAGGAAAAGCAGCATCTGCGCAAAGTTAAAGAAGATAAGCTGGGCCTTTTAGCAGGCTAAAGTAAATTTTACAACAGCCTCATTTAATTGACACAATGAAGACATGGGCTGTGCTGAAGTACTTTCTTATCTGGGGGATGTTCAAATATTCCAGGCCAAGTTATTCCTTTTTAGTTTTAACTGATCTTCACTGAAGAACGCTTATATTCCTAGGTTGATATTTTACTTAAGAGAATTAATGTGACTGACCTTGCTTAATTGTTTAATAGGGAGTTTTGGTAGGGGTCTTTTTCTAGAGGCCCCCACCCTACTCTGACTACACCCATGGTCCCTGTCTCAAAGGTACTTGAAGCCAATGAACAGCAAACAGTTAAAATGGCAAATTTTGTGTTGTATTTTAACACACTAAAATAAGGAAACAAGTACACATAAGAAACAAGAAATAAATGAACAGAATACGTTTTTAAAAAGAATATGAAAAACAGACTTTTAACCATATGGATAAAGCACAGGATGAAGACATACACCTAGTGAGGATGTTCAGCGTGTGAGACAGGCATGAATGAAGCAAGTCTGCAGGCCTGGTGACCGGCCGGGTCAGGGCAAGGGCATGGGCAGAGCAGGAAGGAAGAGCCCTAGGCTGCCCAGCAGGGTGGGCAAGGCGGGGTAAAGGCAAGAGGCTGGAGGACGGGAGAGAGATGGGGCAGGGGCAGCTCACCCCCTGTCCCGGCAAGCGCACGACCAAGGACAAACCATGGCTCCGAGCGCTGCTCAGGAGAGAGGCCTGTCCTCAAGGGCTGTGGGCATTTGACACCAGCCATGCAGGAGTGCCATGCGGCTGCCCGAGCCGAGCCAGGTCATCCGACCTGGATGGATCAGGCTGCACCTGGGAGGCTGGGAGACGGGGAGACAGAGACAGAAAGAAGGAGACACCAAACAGCTCAGAACCAGGGAGAGAGCTGCTCCCGGGGGGCCTGGCCAACAGAGACAATCCAGTGGGTGCAGCAAGAGGAATGCTGAGCAAGGGTTGGCACCACTTTCCCCAGATGGGCTCTGGCTACGTGCAGGGGCGGGAGCAACCCTGCGAAGAGTGGCCAGGCCTGGAAAACAGGCAGACATGAGGACATAACTTCAGAAGGTTTAGCGAGAAGGGACGGAAGGCTAGGCAGGTGTGGTAAGAGGCTGGCCACCAGGCAGAATGGCCCATGCAGCAAGAGTCCACAGGTCCCAGGGGCCTGCAGCAAGCCCATCCAGATGCACAGGGCCTCCCACAGTAAGGGGGGGGGGGGCCTCCTTAGGACTAGGAGGTTAGGTAAATAAGGCAGAAGATCAAAGCGACTAAACACCTTTATTGTTTGTTAATTAGTCAACCTGAGGCACCTGTGAGTGGGTCCCTAACAAAGATCCTACAGTGGAAGTCAATGGAATGTAACGAGGTCCACCATCTTAGAACAGAAACCAATTTTAAAATTATTTCTTTGTAAAAAGCAACATATGGATGTGTTTGCATGCTGCTTACAGTAAAGCAATGAGAAAATATTTTTGAGACCGTCAGGCATAATGTATATGCCTGGATAATACAAGCTACCAAAGAATTAATGTCCATTTTAATGTAACTGCACATGGGCAGATTTCTAGAAAAAAGTATATATTTCTTGTAGTATGCAGGGGTGAGACAGAAGGATGTTTGGGATTTGTTTTAAACTTTTTCAGCAAAGAAAGATTGTTCTCATGATAAATAATTATTGAGTGTCCACATGAACCATCACTGCTCCTGCCACTAGAACTGTTAGGCAGGAAAATAGATACCAGTGGGGTAGAAAGAGAACAAGGCCAGGAAAACCACTGGAAAGACCCAGACTTAATCAATTACAGCTCAAAAAGCCAGGAGCAACTTGGCCTGGAATGTTTGAATATTCCCCAGATAAAGGAGGGTACCTCAGCAAACCCCATGTCTTTATTGTGTTAATCATACAGGCCCAGCTTATTTTTTAACTTTATGTATATGTTATTTTTTCTCCTTCCAGCCCTAATCAAGTAGTTTGTAACCTAGGCAACTAATTTAGCTTGCAGGCCCAGCCGTAAACAACATAATAAAAGGTAGGAAGGAGTCCATCTTAAAGACTGTATTTTAATACCCAGGAAGTTAAAAATGTAAGATTATTAACTTACTCTCTAGCAAACAAGACAATAACTCAGCCTACTTGGGGACTGGGCAGGCAGCATTGTTTGATATGCTTGGGACTAAGACTCCAGAGAAATCAGAGCAGGAAGTTGCTTGTGCTAAGTTAATTCTAAGTATTCAAAGACCACTTAACAAGCAGGTCTGCACCCCCAGCCCTTAGTCACATTCCTGAAGAATCTTTAAAAGGGGGAACCTCCAACCTTTTGGGGTGCTCCTCGCTCTGAGGTCACCCACACTTTTTAAGTGTGTAACCTTTTAATTTTAAACTTTCTTTCCCCAATCATTCAGGGCACCTCTCCTGTGAAGTGGCGGTACTTTTTCTCTCTTTCAGTAACTTTAAATAAAACTCACTCTGCCCTTCAGTTCTTTGTTGAGGCAGGGACAAGGACGGAGGAAAACACACGATGCTCCGCCAACAGAACCATCAGGATTTTTAAATGGTTTTGAACTCCTATGAATCATACCCAACTCAGGAAAACGCCAAATGGCACGTACAAGGCGTGAGAGGCAGGGGGGAAGGGGCAGGGAAGGAAGGGCCACAGTTCGCCTCGGCCCTCGTGCATCCAGGACAGGGGGACGATGGGGCTGTCAGGGAATGAGAGTGGACAGCTTTTGCGTTTTTATATTTCAGAGCACACCATACTCACCAGATTGTTTTTGACTAGCTGGCTTAGTACTTTCTTCCTCAACAATTATGAAATACAGCGGAGAAGTTGGTAAGACGTAAGAGCTAAAATGAAGTCAGAAATCCATACGGTGAGCAGACTGCACAGGGCGGTTGTTCAAGGACACATACATCTTAAGTACGACAGTTACGAGTGAGTCACCCATGCAGAAATGCATGAGTGGTACGTGGAAGTCAGGAAAACAATCGGGCTTATTCTTTTCCTTCTAAGACAGGAAGTTTTGGTATTTTTAATAAAAGTGCTTTTATAATTTATATTCTATCTTGAAAAAAAAAAGGTGTTTTGCATTAAACTGTGAACCATTTCATTTTCAGCAAGATAAAGGGATGGTGTGAGCAGTAATTTCCTTCTAACTGGACCAGCAGTCTGGCATTCACTAAACTTCCTTTACCTCTCAAGATAAAAGGAATCTGAAACCCTACAAACCAACATGCCTCAGGCGTCTGTCCCGAGGAGCCCATACCAGACAGCAGAGGGGTCCTCCCCTCGGGTGCAGGTGCGTCTGAGACCTCAGAAGAGCCAGCAGGTTGATTTCCAACACAGCGACCTTACTTCCAAACAAGGACGTAAGCAGGCACCCCGCCTACGGGAACAACAAGCTGGAGCTGTAAACACAGCTTCTAAGAATCAAATCTGCTACAGTTACCTAGTTGTCACAGCGGTAACAGTAGTAGCATAGTGCTGTGTGATTCGTAGAACTTTCACTTACAAAAGCTCACCAGTAAGCCAGTTTATCATAGTGTGGAAGACGGTGAGCACAGAGCAGCTGTCCTACGGGTCGGACAGCGCTCTGCAGGCACTAAGTGCAGCTGGTGTTGTGTGACTGAGCTTATGATCACTGGCATTGCTCATCATAGCACACGATCCAGCAACTTGAATACTGAGGCTCCAAAAATCTGAATTTCCAGCAAAGAGAAAGAACAAGCGATGTTTAGAGTAAGTGCAGAGAGCTGACTGCCTGTGGACACGTGCGGCACCAGGCTGCAGCCCAGCTCAAGTCCCACGGACTCCAGTCAGTGCTGGGAGAGCAGGCAGAGCCTCCCAGAGCACAGGACAGGTCTCCGACACGCGGCTGACTGAGGGGACGGCAGCAGCAGGCCACTGAGGGAGCAGCAGGTGAGCGTGACAGAGGCAGGTCTGGGAGCTCCAGGAGCGCCTCAGCCTGCGGTGCTGCACGGGCCCAGCCCCTCCCCAAAGCAGGGCGCCAGGAGCCCTCGAGGACAGAGGACGGCTGCATCTAAGACACTGGCTGCCCGCTGGCTGCCAGGTACACAGGGAGCAGCGGGGCCTCTGCAGGAGGGCACCACCCCCCAGACGCGGGCCTGGGACTGGTGAGTCAGGGAAGCAGGGAGTGTCAGTGGCTGCCCCACCTGCTGGCAGGAGTGAGTCCCAAGGGCAGTGGTGAGGAATGGGAGGACAGAGCCACGACTGGACGAGAGTAACACAGACACTGAGCCCAAAGTGACTGTGAGGCTGTCTGGGCACGGGTGTCCTGCCTTGAGAGGGAAAAACTGACAGAGCTGACTTGGGAGTCCCTACCAGGGGCACTGGGAAGACCAGGGGCACTGAAGGAAGGCACGTCCCTCGGAGCCCCCACAGAGACAGAGAGGGCAGTGCGGGGAAAATGGAGATTTCTGACCAGGATTCCTGCCTGGCCTTAACAGCACCCACTGTGTATCTATATGAAAGCCTGTGTGCACACCTATGGGATGTTTACCGGAGAGAGAGCAGCTGGTCAGTCACAGGAGTACCGGCCCTGTGGAGGGATGGAAAGGAAACACCCACTCTTCCTCCCCTCGCTTCCTGGTACATAATTGGTCAGGCATTGGCCAGTTGCCAGGGACCTGCCCACAGAGCTCCTCCCCGTGCTGGGGCTGAGAAGTAGGAGGCTGCTGGGAGAACAGGGAGAAGGCCAGGGAGCCCCAGTGCTCCCGGTGCGTTAGGCCAGAGCACGGAAGCAGGGAGCTTGGAGAGCTTGGAGGGAGGCCTGGCGGGAGACAGAGGAGAGCATGGGGGCTGGCAGAGGGAAGCCGGAGAAACGAGAGACTGAGACCTATTGCCAGGAGAATAAACCACCTCTAAACCCCTAACTCCTCGTCCTTATCTTTCAACTAATACACAGCGAACTTGCCCCAGGCCGTGAACCCCCTCCTCCTGGAGCTACAGGCAGGGAAAGGGAACAGCTGGGATGCACCGAGGTCAGGGCAGAGCCAAACACTGGTTCAGCAGCGGAACCCTGGTGAGAGCCACCTACACCTGGCAGCTGACACATTGCATCCTCAGATTCCGCTGAGTTGGTTTCTACACTAAGACTCCCACTGCCCCATAAATCAGACAGAGAAAAATGTTAAAGTTACATGAAACACACATCAAAGGTTATCTGAACTTGATCTTACCCCTGTAATGTAGAACCGCTTCCAATTCAAAGTTCACCAAGTTAAATATGAATAAGCCAGCTGAGCTTCCAATCCACAAGCATTTGGTATTTGCAGAAGAAAGACTAATTTTAAAAGAAAAGGAGAAAAAATGGTCCTGATCATATTCCTTAATATGTTCCACAGCACACCCCTGGGCCAAGTGTTAATTCTCCCAGACGCAAAACCGAGGGGATCACTGAGGCCTATGCCTGTGACCTGCACCTGCCCGTCGGCTCCCATAACAGGTGGGCGTGACGACACCGGCCGGGCTGGGTCAGAGGCGCTCCCCATTTCCTGGATCCACTTCCAGTGAAGATGACCAAGTCAAACAGCCACACCCAAGGCCACCTCCACTCTGGTATGTGGGGGTTCACTTCTGCAGTCACAAAGAGGGGAGTGCTGAGTCCTCCAGCAGAAATAATCTCATTTCTTTTATTAAATAGACTTAAAAATGATTGACCAAGCTTACCAACTTTAAGGCTTAAAATATACAATCCTAAAAACACAGTTATTATTAGACAAAAATAACTTGGTTTTATTTGAATCATTCTAAGAAAAAGAACCTAATTTTAAAGGTTTTCTTTGTATGGCATTATAAACAACCATCATACTCACAATCCACACGGGGAACTTAGGAGGGAGAGATCACAGCATGCCAGTCTCAAGATTGAAGTGTCACGTCAACCTTCTCCCCTTTCCCCAGGTCACCTGCCGAGGGGAGCCGACTCTCTTCTAGGAGGAGAATTACTGACAATCTGAGATGTGAAATTAAAATGATCCATCAAGAAAGCAGCTGACACAGTAAGATGTTGTAGGAAATTATGTTGCTCCAATAACTCAGATCATGAGTCAAGAAAAACACTCAGGCTTATGTGTGGTAAAGAACAAGGTTAGAAATGCAAATGAGACCCCATATCATGAAGTCTGTTAAGGGAAAAAGATGGAGCTTCAAGCATAGAAGCATGAAACGGGGAGGGAGGTGGTCAGCCTGTGGTGTAACACTGCTCCTAGCACAGGTGACCACAAGACGGGCACTTCCGGGAGACATGAGGAAAGCCAAGATGCACAGCATCAGGAAAAAATAGATACGCTGGATAATGGTAACTTTAGACCTACTTTAAAAAGAGGTATACACAAACCAGGAAAGGAAGCACAAGCAAAGAAATGTGTAATGATACAAACATGAAAGATGCCTTTGCTGTGATAGGAAACTCAGGGGACCGTGTCAGCCTTGAGAGGGTGGCTAAGCAGACTGGACTGTGAAATCCCACCTGCTGCTTCTGTGACAGTTTGGCAGATACCAAATGTCAGAGCAAAGGGCATGATGGAGATGTGGATGAGCAGACAGCCCCGGGCAAAGGGAAGACAGGGGATGGGCCTGCCCTCCCCCACCTGCCCAGCACAGGGCCCTGGCTGCTGCTGTGGGTGCTGGGAGTGTGGCCGTGGGAGGCCTGAGGGACATCACCCAGCAGCCACATGGACTGGACTCACCCCTCCTGGTAAAGAAAATCTCTCTCTTCTTCCTTAGGTCAACACGTGTCACACAACGATAATGATGACCTTCAACCAAACTGAAGATACAAAGCTGGAAAGCAAACACGTGCAGACACATAACTCTCACAAAGGGCACCAAGCAAACAGCCAAATGAGAAAATGGGGGAGCAGACAGGAAAGCAAGTCTACAGAGCCCCCGAGACGCCCCGGACCCTTCTATGGTCTCCGAGGCCCGTTCTTAGCTCGCCTGCTCCCCTCACATACCCAACGTCTCGGAGTGCTTTTTCACGTTGGCACGTTGCTGGAGTACAGAGGTCAAGTTTTAGAGGGCTTCCAGCCGCTACAGGACCAGTTTCTCCTAGCGTCCACGCCCAGCTCTCTGCACACAGCCACGAACACACTGACATCTCGCTGGGGAATAACACACAGGTAACAGCACTCAACTTTATTAAAAGAAAAATATGATCTTAGTTTCCAAAATGTGTCTAACACTATGATTTATAACAAGTATCTCTGTGGTCTGAGATCCTGATCCCGGCTCCAAACTCCCGCAATCTCCTGTGGTAAGAGCCACACAGGCATCTTTTCTTTTGCTGATGAGCCGACCTAGTGACGGTCTCGGTTGAAATGGGAACTTTCAGTCCACCCCTGACCTCCAGGAAGGGGAGGGGCTGAACGGTGAGTTCAATCCCCAGTGGCCAAGGAGTTAATCAAGCAGAGCTTTGCAATGAAGTCTCCGTGAAGTCCTGTGGTATGGGGTTGGTGGCCTGCCAGGTTGGTGAACAGTCCACCAGGAGGGTGACAGTCCCCAACTCCAGGGAGACGGACGTTCCCTGGCCTCACCCCTGTATCTCTTCACCTGGGTTCATCTGCCCTTTATCACATCTCTTAATGAACTGGTAAAACATGTGTGAGTCACTCTAGCAAATTAATCAAACCTGAGGAGGGGTCACAGGAACCTCCAATTTCTATCAAGTCTGACAGAAGTCATGGGTAGCTAGGGCCCACTTCTTACAACTGGTGCCTGGTGGCGAAGGGTGGTCTCATAGGACTAAGCCCTTAGCCTGTGGGGTCTCCAGGGGGACGGCGTCAGAATTTCAGAACTGAGTTAAATGGTAGCACACCTAGCCGGTGCTGCAGAGAACTGCTTGGTCAGGGGGCACTCCCGCATCTGGGGATGAGGCGTGTCGGAGGGAAGGGTGGGGTGTGAGCAGGGCAGGACACCCACAGAAGGAACTGGGTTACTTCCTAACACAACATCCTCCCTAAAATATATCAACAGCAACTTTTATAAGAGAATAGTATACATGCTTTGTGAAGTAAATCTAAATTGCTCACCAAAAAAACTAAGTTTTGAAAGAATATCTCCAAACCTTCAAAGTTCATGAAGCTCACACGAATGGTTGTAGTTAGGGGTGGCTCTCCACGCGGGCCTCCAGGACATCGGGGCGGACCGGCTCCTCCACAGGCCGGGGCACAGCGCCCCTGCTGGCGCCTGCCCCACGGGGACACCGAGGCCTCCAGAAGACCCAGCTTCTTAGCAGCTGAGGTCGCCTGGTTTCTTCAAATCACAGAGAACAAAGCAAACAGAAGCGAAGACCTCGCTGAACACGTTCACGGCCGCGACGCTGGCCAGCGGGCTGAGTGCTGAAGCCTTTGACCGGCCGTCAGCACCCCCAGCGCCGGGCCGCCGGCTCCCGTCACCTATGAGCAGATTTAGCAGCGAACAGCTGTTGTAAGAGCCAGCAGGTTGATTTCCAACACAGCGACCTTACTTCCAAACAAGGACGTAAGCAGGCACCCCGCCTACGGGAACAACAAGCTGGAGCTGTAAACACAGCTTCTAAGAATCAAATCTGCTACAGTTACCTAGTTGTCACAGCGGTAACAGTAGTAGCATAGTGCTGTGTGATTCGTAGAACTTTCACTTACAAAAGCTCACCAGTAAGCCAGTTTATCATAGTGTGGAAGACGGTGAGCACAGAGCAGCTGTCCTACGGGTCGGACAGCGCTCTGCAGGCACTAAGTGCAGCTGGTGTTGTGTGACTGAGCTTATGATCACTGGCATTGCTCATCATAGCACACGATCCAGCAACTTGAATACTGAGGCTCCAAAAATCTGAATTTCCAGCAAAGAGAAAGAACAAGCGATGTTTAGAGTAAGTGCAGAGAGCTGACTGCCTGTGGACACGTGCGGCACCAGGCTGCAGCCCAGCTCAAGTCCCACGGACTCCAGTCAGTGCTGGGAGAGCAGGCAGAGCCTCCCAGAGCACAGGACAGGTCTCCGACACGCGGCTGACTGAGGGGACGGCAGCAGCAGGCCACTGAGGGAGCAGCAGGTGAGCGTGACAGAGGCAGGTCTGGGAGCTCCAGGAGCGCCTCAGCCTGCGGTGCTGCACGGGCCCAGCCCCTCCCCAAAGCAGGGCGCCAGGAGCCCTCGAGGACAGAGGACGGCTGCATCTAAGACACTGGCTGCCCGCTGGCTGCCAGGTACACAGGGAGCAGCGGGGCCTCTGCAGGAGGGCACCACCCCCCAGACGCGGGCCTGGGACTGGTGAGTCAGGGAAGCAGGGAGTGTCAGTGGCTGCCCCACCTGCTGGCAGGAGTGAGTCCCAAGGGCAGTGGTGAGGAATGGGAGGACAGAGCCACGACTGGACGAGAGTAACACAGACACTGAGCCCAAAGTGACTGTGAGGCTGTCTGGGCACGGGTGTCCTGCCTTGAGAGGGAAAAACTGACAGAGCTGACTTGGGAGTCCCTACCAGGGGCACTGGGAAGACCAGGGGCACTGAAGGAAGGCACGTCCCTCGGAGCCCCCACAGAGACAGAGAGGGCAGTGCGGGGAAAATGGAGATTTCTGACCAGGATTCCTGCCTGGCCTTAACAGCACCCACTGTGTATCTATATGAAAGCCTGTGTGCACACCTATGGGATGTTTACCGGAGAGAGAGCAGCTGGTCAGTCACAGGAGTACCGGCCCTGTGGAGGGATGGAAAGGAAACACCCACTCTTCCTCCCCTCGCTTCCTGGTACATAATTGGTCAGGCATTGGCCAGTTGCCAGGGACCTGCCCACAGAGCTCCTCCCCGTGCTGGGGCTGAGAAGTAGGAGGCTGCTGGGAGAACAGGGAGAAGGCCAGGGAGCCCCAGTGCTCCCGGTGCGTTAGGCCAGAGCACGGAAGCAGGGAGCTTGGAGAGCTTGGAGGGAGGCCTGGCGGGAGACAGAGGAGAGCATGGGGGCTGGCAGAGGGAAGCCGGAGAAACGAGAGACTGAGACCTATTGCCAGGAGAATAAACCACCTCTAAACCCCTAACTCCTCGTCCTTATCTTTCAACTAATACACAGCGAACTTGCCCCAGGCCGTGAACCCCCTCCTCCTGGAGCTACAGGCAGGGAAAGGGAACAGCTGGGATGCACCGAGGTCAGGGCAGAGCCAAACACTGGTTCAGCAGCGGAACCCTGGTGAGAGCCACCTACACCTGGCAGCTGACACATTGCATCCTCAGATTCCGCTGAGTTGGTTTCTACACTAAGACTCCCACTGCCCCATAAATCAGACAGAGAAAAATGTTAAAGTTACATGAAACACACATCAAAGGTTATCTGAACTTGATCTTACCCCTGTAATGTAGAACCGCTTCCAATTCAAAGTTCACCAAGTTAAATATGAATAAGCCAGCTGAGCTTCCAATCCACAAGCATTTGGTATTTGCAGAAGAAAGACTAATTTTAAAAGAAAAGGAGAAAAAATGGTCCTGATCATATTCCTTAATATGTTCCACAGCACACCCCTGGGCCAAGTGTTAATTCTCCCAGACGCAAAACCGAGGGGATCACTGAGGCCTATGCCTGTGACCTGCACCTGCCCGTCGGCTCCCATAACAGGTGGGCGTGACGACACCGGCCGGGCTGGGTCAGAGGCGCTCCCCATTTCCTGGATCCACTTCCAGTGAAGATGACCAAGTCAAACAGCCACACCCAAGGCCACCTCCACTCTGGTATGTGGGGGTTCACTTCTGCAGTCACAAAGAGGGGAGTGCTGAGTCCTCCAGCAGAAATAATCTCATTTCTTTTATTAAATAGACTTAAAAATGATTGACCAAGCTTACCAACTTTAAGGCTTAAAATATACAATCCTAAAAACACAGTTATTATTAGACAAAAATAACTTGGTTTTATTTGAATCATTCTAAGAAAAAGAACCTAATTTTAAAGGTTTTCTTTGTATGGCATTATAAACAACCATCATACTCACAATCCACACGGGGAACTTAGGAGGGAGAGATCACAGCATGCCAGTCTCAAGATTGAAGTGTCACGTCAACCTTCTCCCCTTTCCCCAGGTCACCTGCCGAGGGGAGCCGACTCTCTTCTAGGAGGAGAATTACTGACAATCTGAGATGTGAAATTAAAATGATCCATCAAGAAAGCAGCTGACACAGTAAGATGTTGTAGGAAATTATGTTGCTCCAATAACTCAGATCATGAGTCAAGAAAAACACTCAGGCTTATGTGTGGTAAAGAACAAGGTTAGAAATGCAAATGAGACCCCATATCATGAAGTCTGTTAAGGGAAAAAGATGGAGCTTCAAGCATAGAAGCATGAAACGGGGAGGGAGGTGGTCAGCCTGTGGTGTAACACTGCTCCTAGCACAGGTGACCACAAGACGGGCACTTCCGGGAGACATGAGGAAAGCCAAGATGCACAGCATCAGGAAAAAATAGATACGCTGGATAATGGTAACTTTAGACCTACTTTAAAAAGAGGTATACACAAACCAGGAAAGGAAGCACAAGCAAAGAAATGTGTAATGATACAAACATGAAAGATGCCTTTGCTGTGATAGGAAACTCAGGGGACCGTGTCAGCCTTGAGAGGGTGGCTAAGCAGACTGGACTGTGAAATCCCACCTGCTGCTTCTGTGACAGTTTGGCAGATACCAAATGTCAGAGCAAAGGGCATGATGGAGATGTGGATGAGCAGACAGCCCCGGGCAAAGGGAAGACAGGGGATGGGCCTGCCCTCCCCCACCTGCCCAGCACAGGGCCCTGGCTGCTGCTGTGGGTGCTGGGAGTGTGGCCGTGGGAGGCCTGAGGGACATCACCCAGCAGCCACATGGACTGGACTCACCCCTCCTGGTAAAGAAAATCTCTCTCTTCTTCCTTAGGTCAACACGTGTCACACAACGATAATGATGACCTTCAACCAAACTGAAGATACAAAGCTGGAAAGCAAACACGTGCAGACACATAACTCTCACAAAGGGCACCAAGCAAACAGCCAAATGAGAAAATGGGGGAGCAGACAGGAAAGCAAGTCTACAGAGCCCCCGAGACGCCCCGGACCCTTCTATGGTCTCCGAGGCCCGTTCTTAGCTCGCCTGCTCCCCTCACATACCCAACGTCTCGGAGTGCTTTTTCACGTTGGCACGTTGCTGGAGTACAGAGGTCAAGTTTTAGAGGGCTTCCAGCCGCTACAGGACCAGTTTCTCCTAGCGTCCACGCCCAGCTCTCTGCACACAGCCACGAACACACTGACATCTCGCTGGGGAATAACACACAGGTAACAGCACTCAACTTTATTAAAAGAAAAATATGATCTTAGTTTCCAAAATGTGTCTAACACTATGATTTATAACAAGTATCTCTGTGGTCTGAGATCCTGATCCCGGCTCCAAACTCCCGCAATCTCCTGTGGTAAGAGCCACACAGGCATCTTTTCTTTTGCTGATGAGCCGACCTAGTGACGGTCTCGGTTGAAATGGGAACTTTCAGTCCACCCCTGACCTCCAGGAAGGGGAGGGGCTGAACGGTGAGTTCAATCCCCAGTGGCCAAGGAGTTAATCAAGCAGAGCTTTGCAATGAAGTCTCCGTGAAGTCCTGTGGTATGGGGTTGGTGGCCTGCCAGGTTGGTGAACAGTCCACCAGGAGGGTGACAGTCCCCAACTCCAGGGAGACGGACGTTCCCTGGCCTCACCCCTGTATCTCTTCACCTGGGTTCATCTGCCCTTTATCACATCTCTTAATGAACTGGTAAAACATGTGTGAGTCACTCTAGCAAATTAATCAAACCTGAGGAGGGGTCACAGGAACCTCCAATTTCTATCAAGTCTGACAGAAGTCATGGGTAGCTAGGGCCCACTTCTTACAACTGGTGCCTGGTGGCGAAGGGTGGTCTCATAGGACTAAGCCCTTAGCCTGTGGGGTCTCCAGGGGGACGGCGTCAGAATTTCAGAACTGAGTTAAATGGTAGCACACCTAGCCGGTGCTGCAGAGAACTGCTTGGTCAGGGGGCACTCCCGCATCTGGGGATGAGGCGTGTCGGAGGGAAGGGTGGGGTGTGAGCAGGGCAGGACACCCACAGAAGGAACTGGGTTACTTCCTAACACAACATCCTCCCTAAAATATATCAACAGCAACTTTTATAAGAGAATAGTATACATGCTTTGTGAAGTAAATCTAAATTGCTCACCAAAAAAACTAAGTTTTGAAAGAATATCTCCAAACCTTCAAAGTTCATGAAGCTCACACGAATGGTTGTAGTTAGGGGTGGCTCTCCACGCGGGCCTCCAGGACATCGGGGCGGACCGGCTCCTCCACAGGCCGGGGCACAGCGCCCCTGCTGGCGCCTGCCCCACGGGGACACCGAGGCCTCCAGAAGACCCAGCTTCTTAGCAGCTGAGGTCGCCTGGTTTCTTCAAATCACAGAGAACAAAGCAAACAGAAGCGAAGACCTCGCTGAACACGTTCACGGCCGCGACGCTGGCCAGCGGGCTGAGTGCTGAAGCCTTTGACCGGCCGTCAGCACCCCCAGCGCCGGGCCGCCGGCTCCCGTCACCTATGAGCAGATTTAGCAGCGAACAGCTGTTGAACAAACCACAGACCATCAGCTTCTAAAGGCCTGGCACAGTGTACCCCACAACTACCAGAGCTTTATTTACTTGTAATGTTTCTTTCAAGTTTGAATTATTCCAAAATCATTTCTTCACCAGGAAGTGGAAACCATGAGTGGGGAAACAGCAAGGTGCCCAGTGGGAATGGCGCAGGCGGGCGGGTTACAGGCTGCTAGGCCGGGACAGACAGGGAACCCAGTCTTCCCCCAGACGCCTGGCGCGTGCTTCTGCAGCTCCCCCCTGACACCCTCCGCCGTTTGGCCAGAGCGCTGAGGTACGTCACTTCCGCTCAGCTTGGATTTGGGGCGACCGTCTCACTTCCGGCTACTCCAGACCGTCGCCTCGCCGACGGCCCCTCCGGACTGTCGCCCCACTTCCGGGAAGCTGCCTCACGTCCGGCTCTGGGACCGCATCACAACTTCCGGGTCATCGCCTCACCTCTGGCTCCCACGGTCGCCTTACTTCCGCTCAGTCGCCTCACTTCCGGCTCCTCCGGCGCGGCCCCGATGCTCCTGCGCGGCGATCTGAAACGAGCGGTGGTGAGTCCGGGCGGAAGCTCGCCGGCCCCTCCCGCCCTAGGCGGTGCCTCTGCCCCCGGGGCTGACGGTGCCCCCGCTGCGGCTGCGCGGCCCCGTCATGGCGGCCCCGTGGGGGCGCGCCCTGCTACTGCTCGTGCTCGCGGCGGCCGCGGCGCCGGAGGATGACGGCGTCCCGGACGAGTGGGCCCTGCTGCACGTCGTCCAGGGCCAGGTGGGCGCCGGCAACTACAGCTACCTGCGGCTGAACCACGAGGGCAGGGTCGCGCTGCGTGTGCGCAGCATGCGCGGGGACGCCGACCTGTACGTGTCTGACAGCACCCTGCACCCCAGCTTCGACGACTACGCGCTGCAGGCCGCCACCTGCGGGCTGGACGTGGTGCTCGTGCCCGCACACTTCCAGCGGCCCGTGGGCATTGGTGTCTACGGGCATCCTTCGCACCGCGAGAGCGAGTTCGAGATGCGCGTGTACCTGGTCCACTCGGCGGAGCCGCAGCCATTCGCGGATGCGGATGGCGGGGACGGCGGCAGTAGGCGCGCCCACGCCCCCGAGGACGTCACCCACGAAGAGGAGTCTGTCCTCTGGACCATACTGATCAGCGTTCTGAAACTGGTCCTTGAAATTCTCTTCTGACCGGTTAGCAGCCCTGCGGTGGGAGGCGCTCCATCCTGGAGGTTGCGGGCCGTCCTCCGAACCTACCTACTCTGACCTGGTTGAAATGCTGGCGGCCTTTTTAGCTGGGGGGTGGAAAACAAAGCCATTCACTTTTTTACCTCAATTACCCCGAAAGCAGGAGAAGCAGCAAGCACGACCTATTTTCTTTGAAAGATCAAAATTCCTGTAAATTTTGCACAATAAAATGTTTAAACTCCACTTTGGTTAGTTTGTCAGGTGACTAAGATCCCTATGCTTAGGTTTATATAAAAGCAAAACCGAACCACTTTTCATGCAGCTACACCAATCAAATTAACAAAGGTTGGTAACTGGGATTTTACTCGAGATTCTAAATCTCTAGACACAGCACTTCAAAGCCTACCAAGTATTTAACAGCACAGTGATAAACTGTACTACATTACAGTGTGTAAGGTTTTCAAGAGTTAGCTATAAGCAAGTCTGAAATGTAATGGTTTCTTCATGGCTGCCTGAGCATGGACTAAAGCCCCATGACTACACCCCAAGTAGGGATGGTACTTCTACCCTGCAGGACCTCCTGGCAAGGCAGATACTGTAGTTCTAAACCCAGCTGAACCGAATCTCATCAGGTCCTTTGTAATTTTGTCATCTTGGGCTACCGAATAAAAATTCTTGCTATTAAGTAACAAGAATGTTATGCTACCCATGGTTGGCCAGAAACAAGAGATTAGGAAAATTTCATGAAAATCATAGTAACTTTCAGGCTAATGGAGGAATAGTTAAACAGAAGGGTCAAACTATTAAACTTTTTGGAAGATGAACTGTTTCAGTACCTGAAACTGGTTTCAAAGGTAAGAGTAGCTTATAACAAATAACTAAACTTGCAGATTTTAAGCACAGTTAATTTCAAAATAAAAATATTTTATTGGCATAAAAATAATGTTGTAAATAAATTGGCACCAAATATTTCACTCAAATGCATATTACATCGTTGGGGTCAAAAAACTATTTTATCCCTCCTTGCTGTTTTTCCCCCTTCTGCCCACTTTCCTGGGTGTTGGGGGTGCTCGCTGACAACAGTCACATATCCAGCGACCTAGGAGAAAAATTGTTAATTAATAGAGAATGAAATGTAGTTTTTTAGGACTTAATTTTAAACCCATTTAGCTCTCCTTCCTTAGCTCTCAGTAATAATATGCCTCTGTATTCCTGGTGGAAGGGGCACTAATGAGCTCCTTAATTTAAGGAGAAAAACAGAAAGTTCCTCTAAGATAGGGTAATCAGTGCATGTGAGTTCAGTGAAGCTGGGGTGGAGTAGGGTGAGGGGTGCACTGCTAGGTAATGAAATAGACCTTAAGAAATTATCATAATCCTTTCTTTTAAAATTCAAACAGTATCACACAAACCTCAATATAAAACCTGTTGCTGCATTGGCTTGTTTTCATCCTTTTTTGTGCTGCTCACTGGCAGCTGTGTGGCTAACAATAGCCTCTCAAGTCAGGGTGTGCTGGACACAGCACTTCAAAGTCTACCAAGTATTTAACAGCACAGTGATAAACTGTACTGCATTAGCTGATCTGAATTAATACAGGACTTTAAGTTGCTTGCTTCTTAATGATTCCCAGGAAACTCAAGTCTGGACATAAAATGTTATGAAGTATTAGTGTTAACTATGCAATTAAGTTCTCTAGTTACACAGTTAGCTGTGTAATGTTTAGTCCAGTCACTGATGTATTCTTGGATTCTGTGTTCATCGTTATCTGGAATTACAAAATGCTGCCTCGCTTAGTAGAAATCCAGTTTCATATGCATAAAGGCATAGCAGTCATTTTGTTAAATCTCTGACTAGATGACATGATAAAATTAAGGCTTTGAAAAATTGATGCTGTTGCTTTCAGCTATTTCAATAGAAAGACACTGGCTCCTTCTCTACATGGAGCCCAGCTTCAAAGACTACGCAGTCTGACATCTCGTTTGTCCTTAGTTGGGTTGTCTAGGGATGAAAGCAGGTGGATGTGATCTGGGTGGATCAGTTTTGGTCACTTTCTGTGAACAGAAGGGTCTGCAGGCCCTTCATGTCACGGTTTTTATGCAAGCTTAGAAAGTTGGGAGAGTCCCTTCACTCTGATAACATTCTCTTTTGTAAATCTTTACCTGATGGAATAGCACCAAGGCCCACACAAAAAGTATGATAGCCTCTGTCACACACATCACAGAACATCATTTCTTCTTCATGGTGGGGTTGTCCACATATAATGCAAGTTTTACATTCCATACATTGCCATGGGTAGGTCTTAATCATAGAAACAAGCTCCAAGGTCATATCCAGGCAAGAAGGATGGCCTAAACCAAAACCAGTATTAGAATTTCACACAAAAATGTTTAACTTGAGGCATAATCAAATTAGTTTGCTTTGGGATTCCTCAAAAAATAGCTACAATGTTTAATCTCCAAAGAAAAATGAAAATACAATGTAGAAGAAAATACACAGGCCTTGTCTATGCCTTACAGGGTACCCTATGTACTTGATGATTCTTTGGTTCAAGCCTCACTGACACCAAACCTCCTATCTTGGAAGCAACAGAATATGGCCGAAACACCCAGAAGGTGTGTGCATACTTACCGCTGTTGTCACACTGGGAGCAGTGTATAAGTGGCTCGGCCTTCCCTTCCTTGTTGCGCTCCTTACCCTTCAGACAGATCCCACATAGAGCATTTGGAATGACCTTAGGCTGGAAGGGTAGAAGAGGGCTATAAATTCATGCCAGAAGAACTTACTATGGGTTCAAAAGGAATCTGTTACTGGACTGCTTATCTTTACTTTAGTAACTTGCTAAGGACCTTTTTGAAAGACGTAACTTGACATGAGTCTGCTTTCCACGTACAAGAGCCTACCGACTAAAGCCTTAGGTATCACTGTAAAATTTTGTCGATGGTTTGATTTCATGTTAGGACTAAATGTAGTATTCCACACTCCCTACATGCACAGTAAGGTCTGTATGATGAACAGAAGGGAAGGCTAAATACAATGTCACATTGCATTACTAACTGGAAGAGAAAATCCAGGTACCAAATAGCCGTTGCATTTAAGTTAGGCTTATTATAAAAGAGAAGACTCAGTTTTAGCAGCCTATATAGTGACTTTGTTTAAAAATTGGTATTTTCCAGAGCTCTAGAAAGTCTAAGTTACAAAATTATTGTTTTCACATTTTTAACTGAAAGGTGTCTCATGTACCATCATCACATGCAAATATGTTCTGTAAAGTTGTGATCATTCTGTTTGCCTGTCTAACAAATTGATAAAAAGAGCCTACACTTCGGAAAGAAGCATTCAGTAAGAGATACAAAACATGAAAGAGGTTTTCAGATAAGCAAAAAAATTGTTAAATAATAAACACCCCTACATTTTTGAGTACCACTCATTGTTCAGATTAAAAGTATGCTCAACCCAAGGAAGGTATGTGAGCTTTAAGAAGCACTGGGCAACACATGGAAAAGGAGGACAGAAGAAAAGGTTCGCTGCATCTAAAATTACCAGGGGAGGGACAACATCTGAACACCAGCCTGGACCACAATAAAACAAGGTTCGTGCGATGTGAACACACAAGTAAAGGTGACAGAAAAAGAGCAAGCATGGGGCAAGTGTGAAATGGGGGCTGGGGCATATACTTATGTACACACACATATGAACTGGAAGAAATATTATATAGAATTACAATATTTCTGTTTTATTCCAACATAGCCAAATGAATCTTTTATTTCCCTGTCTTAAGTTACTGTAACAAAGAGGAGCCTACAGAAAACTACAACTATGTATAAAATATTCCAGCTTTGAAATGTCTCACTGCCACCTTGAAAACCTGTTAGGTCTAAATACTTAGTTAATTCTTTAAATTTTTATTTTTTGAATTATCTTTCTTTGCAAAAGATGACAGAGGCATTCAAAAATAATTTTTGACTTATTTATTTTAAAAAAGTCAACCTTATACATAAATATAATAAAAACAATAACTAAACAATCACAAATGTGTCTACAAAATAATAAATATCATGGAAGTTAAAACATACATATAAAATGTTACTGTTGCCCAGTCTGCATTTCCTCTGTATCTGTGTACCCTGTTCCCGCAACAGAAGGATAGTGTCCATGCTCACAACTTTATGTCTTGCAGTGAAGTTACCCTCAGTTGTTACTGCTACATTCTAAGCATAAGGTTCTCATTGTGTTTTCCTAAACCTAAATAAAAAATGGCTAGAAAGTGCACTTCTATGACCCAAATTCTGGTTCACTTTACAATCAAATCCATAATTGCCATAATATACAGCAGACAGCCACCTCTCCAGCCACCAAAACAAGTGTCTTTTGGTCTTGGTACTGTCCTAAGATAAAGGATGCGTGATACTCATGGTCTACATTAGATACTGGCGTAGTAAGAACACTAACATCTTTCACTAATGTCAAAGCAACTGCAAAATATTAAGCTGTAAAAAGAGAACTCCTCATGGGAGATCCTTTACAGAAATCAAAAGGAATGAAACACAAAGCTAGTCATTCACATTCTAGAGTAATTCAAGTTCTACAATAATTAAAATACCTTAAAAACCTATGATAAAAAGTACACCAAGAAAATTCTAGGTTTATTGTTAAGTGCAAAATCATAATGTTTTGTTAAGCCACTTAAAAATTTTCTTACCCAATAGTCTTCTTCTTGATGAAAAGAGGGAGAGAAGGGTGGGGAGGGGGGATGAACAGCGAGGAGGAGGGGAAAGAGAGAGAGACAGCAAGCTCTGTGGCATTTCTATGATGCTGCCGCAGCTCAATATAAAAAATCCCTGTTCATGCAAGCACTCTGGGCTCCCTAAGCCACACTGCTCGCATCTGGGGCTTCACACGCAGGTGCCCACCGCTGGTCGGGAAGCTAGTATCTCAGTGCCCTGCGGAGCTGCAGCAGGAGCAAGGGAGCATGTGTGCGGGACTCCCCTGGAGATCCATGGGACAGAACCCTGTTTCTGATGCAGACAGCTCTACTTGTAATGACCGCAACAACATCAAAGTTTCACTACGGACAAGAAAATTAAAAATACTCATCCTAATACTTCTAGCATCTCAAATAAAAGGCTCACAATACATCTATTTTCCTGCTTGAAAAATGACCAAAGATAAGTGAGACATTTGTGGTAGCACTAATATAGTATAGATTTTAATATATACTTGTAACATAGGCCTGAATCCTAACAATTATGCCTTAATTTCAGGTTAATGTAACCAAACAACACTGTTCTACAAATTAAGGGCGAGCACTAATGAATCTTAGTAACTAGACATCAGATACATTACCACTTTTCTTAGCTCTCATATTTTAAAACATGTTTTTATATATGACCTTCTGCTTGAAGTACCCTAATATTTAGGCACATCTTGGCTTATTAATACTTTTCATAGAGGTTAACTTTGAATAAATATATTCACATTAATGTACCAAGTCTAGATACTGGTTGTTTCAAACTCTGAAAACCTGAAACATTTTTAGGTACCAAAAATGTTCACAGATTATAAAATGTGTATTTTGCATATTAGACTCCCTTGATTTATTCCACATTAAATCAATGATAGCACTGAATAGTTCTTTATTTTCAGCCTTGATTAAAAAATCTCTATTTCAGCATGCTCTCCTATGAACCCGATGAACCCGGGCTGACGTCTGAAAGGTCTCCTCAACACCGACCGACATGTGCTTCAAGCCACCATCCCCATACGAGGCTCTCATCAGACCAGAACATATGTAGCACACACCAGGCTAACTGGCCAAAATTCCATCTTTGGAGTTCATTTGCTTTTGACATTTAAGCCTTAATTTAAATCCTCAGTTGAAAAATTAGACAACTGATTTATGCAAACACAAGTAAAAAAAAAAAATCACATAGCTGCGGCCTTGATGCCATCCTCGGAAGCCAACCCTTGCTGAACAAAGTGTCAGGTTTACTTGCCACAAGCTGAAAACGCATGTATATTCAAGTTGAAAGCATTTTCTAATTACCTATGGAGTACACTAATTTACTAAGTCACCTTTTTTACCTCACTAAAACAAAGGTAAGCTACTGCTAGAAGGGTGCTGGTTACGCTGCAGGGGCGCAGACTGGCAGCTCACTGGAACCTGTTCTGCTGGATTATCTGCCACAATCCAATCCTGATAAGCAACAAGGTATTCAATAAATCCCTCAGCAAAACTTTCTGACCACCTGACTCTATCACATCCCTTCAAACCACCTTTATAACAACAGTAAAAGGCATATTGATACATTCTAGATCAAAGAACTGTTTTACTATAACCATCAGCAACATAAAACTATGCAGTTAATTCCACTCCTTTTATGATATTCCTAAATCCCCATATGCAAATAAGGCTACTCGACTCTCACCCAGCCCTCAAGGGGAAGGGGCCAGGAGGAGGAGGAAGCAATAAACACAACAGCATTGCTGGTCACAGCTGCCTTACTGAGAACAACCTTAAATCCCCATATGCAAATAAGGCTACTCGGCTCTCACCCAGCCCTCAAGGGGAAGGGGCCAGGAGGAGGAGGAAGCAATAAACACAACAGCATTGCTGGTCACAGCTGCCTTACTGAGAACAACCAGGTCAAAAAGCTAGCAGTGTATCCAAGCCAACGCACCTCACTAAATGTCTAAATCCTTGTCACAGAATTATATAGATTATTTGCCAAGCTTAGGCTAAAAATCACAACAATGTAAGTAACAGGTTTCACAATTTTCTATCAGAGTTAGCTGAATTTGGCACATGGATCAAACAGCGCTCAGATTGAACTCCCCTCTCTCCTGATGAAAGGCACCAAAGAAACATGGTTTGGTCTATTAGGGTGCCCGCCTACACTTCACAGCTCACATGTGCAGCTCTACTAAATACTAGCACATTTAAAACATCAGACAATTATGATCTTTACTCCAAGAAAGCAAACTATAAAGTTCTGTCTATGAAATAATTTTTTAAAGCCCATACTTGCCTGGTTATCATTTAAAAGACAAAAAAAGATTGTCTTGTAAACTGTACATATGCAGAAAACAGAGCTACACCACAGCCAGAGGGAGAAGAAAGCCACCAGGAAAATGAAGCAGGAAGCAGAAGCTGACAGAGGGCACCCCCCAGAACAGCTCGCGGGCACAGCAGGAGCTCCACAACTCTGAATTCAAAGCTAAAACGTCAGGAAGGAGGCTGGTCAGGGGCTTTTTTCTTCTACCTTGTACCCAGGAGCTGACTTGGACAGTACAGAGCGTTTGGAAGCATCTTTTCTGGGAGTAGCAGCTTTGTCCCTGCATCTCTGTCTTCCCTGGACAGGCTCCTCCTGGCTGTCGGGAGGGCCTTCCCCCTCAGACACGTTACCAGACGAGCTATCCTGAAGGTCAAAGGCACAAACAGTGATTCCTTGGAATACAGGCAGATTTGAAGTCTGAATTTTGAAAACTACAGAGAATATTCAAAAATAGCTTTAAGTTCCATCAATTTCAAAATCAAATAGATATTGCTAAATATAAGAAAGTGTGTCCCAATGGACTAAATTAAGTCATGGTAAAAGTCTCTTATCTGTCGTAAAAGTACATTATAACACAAAACTAATTCTGTTTTCATCAGCAAGTACCTTAATCAACTTGGTTTTCTGACTTAAGTCAAACAGAACAGAATTAATACTTCAGCTACCATCACACCATACAGCTTCAACATCATTCTGCATGCAACAAGGGAACTTGTTTCATACAAAAATACTGTTTAGAAAATAAAACGTTTTAAATAAGTATGCATATTTTCATTGAGTAATAAAGGTCATTAAATGCTTCAAGCACACCCTTGTGTTTTCACAACATTAAACTATGTTGGGACCAATATCACTGAGTATTCCTCAAGTAGGTGACACTCTAGATGCACAAAGTTTAGGAGTTCAGTATTAGATCACTTAATTCTTAATTCTTTAAGATTTTCTAAATAGAATAAAAATGTTATGTTCATATATTACAAAATCATAAATGGAAATACCAGGTTATCCATAACCACCCTGATCAACATTCTGAAACGTCTAATGCCGGCACAACTGGACCCCCTTCCCGTCTCCCGCTTGTGCTTGCACACACAGGACGCTGGACTCACTCCCAATGAAGCTTTTGCCCTCATTTTTTAAAACACAAAACTGGATGACACTGTGTGTATGTATACGCATGTGAGTTTTAATATTTTGTAACTGTTATGTACATTTCATCACATCATTATATATTCTGCATTTCTATCATGTAAATGTAACATATCACCCATGGTGGACATTAATTTCTAATTTCCACCATAACAAATATTACTAACACTCTAATGGACATCTTTTCTCTAATTTTATCAGCATCTGATTAGGAGCGCAGGAGAAAGTCACGTCAGCAGTGCCCCACAGCCCCTTCTACCGGCAGGACAGGAGGACAGTGGTACTTGAGCACCACCTTATTTTATGCAACATGTATCATCAAGTAGTTTCTGAAGCTGTTGGTGACAAGGAAGTGTACCGCCCTTTTAACAGTGGCTTATCCTCAGGTTCAGGTCAGTTATAGTGCAAAGTGTAAAAATAGTCAAGTCACTTAACATGCAGTGCTAAGTAAAATCCAAAGCCTATGGCCATCTGTTTCTTGTTCTCCCTTCCCTCACTTCCACAAAGCACTGCAATTTCCTAACTTACTGTTGCATTTTGCTACAAAAAAAACTAATAGTACAACATAGTAGCCTTAACATTTTCCTACAGGAAGCCTAAGGTTATTACTTAAGCAAGAGGAACACAAGTTAATGTGCTCCCCCAAACCAAGATAGTTAAATATAAGACTGCTTGGTACTAATGTCTGGTCAACCCTCCTGCTCCTGATGACTAAGGAGGGGCAACTTTAAATATGACATTTACTGAAGGCCATGCATGGCACAGTGCACCTATATCACATACACAAGAAATAATTTTTCTTGATGAAAGCATTCTGGAAATGATATGCAACTGTCCTTTTACAAAATGAGGATGGTGATACAAATTCAATTTAAAACATACCAGGCAAGCAATCAGGCAAAGACACAAAGGGAATGGAGACACTAAGGACCCACACTCTCACCGAGGCACCTTTATTCTTCCGTTTCTCGTCACCGGCACCATCCTCGGCATCATCTGAATCACCATCACTGTCCAGGGCGGGGAGTTCAGGGTCCAGGGGCGGCTCATAAAGTGCTGTGTTTAATGGCAAGTACCGCAGTTCATCTGGTGAGTACCTAATGTTCAGAGATACCTTCAGTTTTATTAAGTATGAATGGACTTTCAGCTATAAAGATAACCTTCATCTTCTGAATTAACCCCAAATATTTCTGGAAAGTGATTTCAGAGGTTATAAATAATTTTTCATTTTGGTAATCAAGTAGGGACAAATAATAGAAAGCCTAGTCATCTTTCACCAGACCGAGTGTAGAATACACATTTGATTCTTACTATCAAAAGAATAATGTCTCTCCTTTACCCTCAACCCAAAAAAGAAAAAACATCAGCAGACAAGGGTGAAAGCATCACAGAATCCTGCACATGATTCAGGCTGCCTGGCCGCCTCTGCCTGCCCTTCCTAAGTTCATCACTGCACACATGCTGTCACTGCCTCACATGTGAAGTGCATGTGAGAAGTGCACATGAGAACAGCATCTATCTCACAAAATAGAAATGAGGATTAAATAAATTAATGCATGTGAATCACCCCAGGGCATGGCATATGATATTATTTAAGAAACAAAATTTTCAGTAGTATTATTTTAAACCAACTCATGAAGCATGTATTCTAACGAACTTATTCATCTACTTTATCTGAAACCAGAGATTGTTTCTCCAGGTCAAACAGCTCAGAGCCCAGCTGACATGCGCACACACAGGCGTGCCCTCTGCCACCTCACGGCCCGTCAGCACTGTGTAGCCTTTGCTCAGGAGTGAGCACTGGATCAGCATCTCCTTCCATGAAGACGCCAAACCGAACAGCAAAAAGGCTGGTATACTGACATTATCCTTTTTCATAATGTGCTGACCCATGATTTAAATTTGACTCTCAAATAGTATGATCCTATAGTCTTATTTCAAATATTACTCTCTAAAGAATATGCTGTATCATAAGAACAAGGTTCAAAGCTAAAGTAAAAGCTGAGATTCGGAAACAAAACTATTCTGTTGGCCCTGTTTCAGTTACGCCCAGTTTGGGTAAGAAAGAACATGGTGGGAAGCAGGAGTCAGGCCAGTGAGTGAGGTGGCTGGTGCAACCAGGTGGCCAGGCCGCCCTGGCAGACACTCATTGCTTCCTGCATTGCTCCGCACACCATGCTGGTGCTTCTCAAATGTTCATTTGCACGTGCATCATGTGGGCATCTGGGGATGTGCTGACCCGAGCCAGCAGGGCCGGGAGGGCCTGAGAGTTCGAGCTTCCAGGGACACCAGTGATGCAGAGCCCTGGGCCACCCCTCGTGGAGTGAGATGCCAGAGCACCTGTCCACACAAACACAAACGGCGGGCAGGGAGCCGGGCCGCGGGGCTCTGTCAGCAGACGTTCAAACACTGAGGGGTGCTCTTACCACAGAGCCACAGACGGAAAACATTCACTCGAACCTCACGGCATGTGCAGTGACACTCGCAGAGCTCGGATGATCAGGGAACAAGTGCAGAAGGCTCTGCAGCCTCCCCCCAGCAGCCAGTCCTAAAGGGATGACCCCTGTACCTTTTGTAATACTCCTGGAACTGTCCAGGGATGAGGGCCACAGGATAGGGGCTGGCCTTGGTGCGCTCGGTCGCCAGCACCGTGTGCTTCCCTTGAGGCACCTGGACGACCTGGCGACACAGAGAAAGACAAACTGATTCCTGTTCTCCACTGTACTCCTCCCCCTAAGAGCTAGAAGGAAGAAGTACTAGGAACGACGACCTGAGGAGAAAGTCAGTGGGGTCTCTAATTCCCGGTGAGCCTCACCCGGCTCCGCCCCACGTCATTTTTGGGGAGAGCCGGGATGACCGGGGTGACTCAAAAGCCTGCAGCTCAACTTCCTCACCTGTCGGTGGGGCAGCACTGGCTTCGCCCTCATGTGGTGAGAATTAAATGAATTCACACAGACTCTCTTACAACCCTCAGGACACACAACAAGTAAGACACGGAGCTGTTAGTCTTAACTCGGTACAATGTCAACCACAAAGCAAAAGACATTTCTCTCTCACATGCACACAAGTGAACTGAGTATTATCAGGCACGCCATTAAAAACTGTATTGTAACTTCTGGGGAAAAAAGAACAAATCGCTGGTACAAAAAGTAACAGTAATAAAGGAGGTACTGTGCACTCCACACAAACAAGCAGAAAGGGAGGTTCAGGACTAATGAACCAAAGCAATCTTACATGTGTCTGTAGGTCAAAGTAAGCTCTCCTTTCTTCCATACGTTCCCGGTTTAAGTTGCTGTTAAATTCAGCTGCTTTTTTGGCAGCTTTCTTGATGTACTCAGGCACTCTGCTGGCTTCAACTTTCTGAGTACTCTGTTGGTGCATTTGCTGAAATAAAAATATTACAGTTGGAAGTCACACAAAACTTTACAAAATGTCCTCTCCATACCAAATAAAAGATGCTAATCACCTCAGTACTTACAGAATACTCTTTATAATGATCTGTAATTCGCTGGCGTTCTTTCTCTTGTAGAATAACAGAATACTCAGCATGTTTGGCTGGATATTCTTTTATCATTAAATCAATCACTTCATCACTGCGCAATGCTGTTAAACCTATTTTAGACACACACATACACAATAAAGGTAAAGAAGCTCTTTTAAAACTAAGCGAACAAAACCACTTTTCAAAATTTGCTTTTCCTTCAAACTGTCTACATTTAAAAGATCTTCCGAAAGGTCAAAGCAAAATGTTTTAATACATTTGAACATAATAAAAAATAATATTCATAATGTGAAGTAAAACAACGAAAAGAAACTGATTACCAAAGTTGCAAAGGCAAAAAATTAATTTTTCTACTAAATCTTTTTTTAAAGCTTTCATGTACCACAAACATATCCCTTCATTAGAAACAACTGTTAACTAATGATACACACTAGCAACTGGCAATTAACATAAGCTATTAAATGAGAAAAACAAGAATTTTTCAATATATTGCAATTCTTGGACTTCAAATTCAAAACACTAAATTTATTATAGAGTCAATTCAAACTTCACTGAAAGCATCAGCTCACACACACACACGTGAGTCACACAGGCAATTTTCAAAACTCGCAGCATCGGATTTTACCAAATGCCGAGATGAACTCGTTTCATATTAAAAAGTAGCCATGTTGCATTATAATGTTAATGAAAGGAAAATCACAATAAAGTATGGAGATAACTATATAGAACTAAAAATTGTGCAAAATTTGCCTTTCCAGAGATCAGGACCAATACTTTTCAAAAGTACTGTACAAATTTTGCACAAAAAATACACTTTAACACTTCTGTGAAAATTATTAGAAAATTATATTGTTATAAAATACACTATTCTCCTTTGTATTTTAACAAAGTTTTACTTCAAAAATTACGTAAACAATTTAGCACTTATATAATTCAATCTATTTTATTAACTCTGCAAAGTTTTAGGAAAGGAGATAAAAACCTATCTAAAATCACCTCATAAGTGGTCAATTTTCAAAATTTACATGAAAAGCTTTTATTACCTAGAGTGCACTGAGTTTCTGTAATGACATTTAGCTCTCTCAGGTAGAGTTTCTCCTTATGAGACAAATCTCGTCGCTCTAAATCTCCAAAAAAAAGAACAAAAGACTATTAGAAATAGTCTTTTGCATTTGTAACTACGCATTAGTAAAACTTTTTAAGTTTAAAAAACTTAAAAATTTTTGAAGTAAAAATATTCAAGGATTTAAAAAAGCACTTCATGTTATATACTCCAAATATTAAAGACTACACAAAAAAATCTTACAAATTCAAGAAATAAGTTAAAATAAAATTGAAAATAGAATCCAAAGCAAGAAGGTCAATACAAATAACAGTATCAAAATAGCTGATGAAGTACAGCCTTTCTCAAATTCAGGTACAGCTTATATAGCTGCCTCCATTGCTAACTAAGGTCAAGGAGCAATGATAAAGAATCAAAATGTTTGGTCCATATGGCTATAAAATGATTTTTTCTAACATTTTCCTCAGGAAATTTATCATCTTCATTTTGCTTTTAAATCAGATTATAAGGCATAAGAACAAACTGATAGTACAGAGAGATGCTGGATGATCGCAGTAAATGAAAATCAGCCAGCAGAAGAATATAAATTGAAAATAATCCATAATCAAATATTCAGAAGTTGACAACCCATCAAAAAGAATAACTATTAGCTAAAAGTTAGATTTCATCTTTATATACCAACTAAGACTTAATACCTGGATATTTCCGTTTAAAGGAGGTCACACCCAAATATTCACTGACTTGTTCTTGAAGCATATAGTATTCTCCTGTTTCATCAGGTGGCCATTTGTATTCTATCAAATTTTCTGCTGGATAGTAGCTAAAGCTAAGCACAGAAATATATATTATGCCTTAAATGTGACTTTTATTAAATTTTAACCATTTTTTAAGTATATTTATTTTTAATATTTTTTTTAGGATAAAGATTTTGAAAAACTATTTAAATTCTCAATCAGTCTTCCACAACTTGGCAATAAAAAGAAGTCCCCACAATTTCCTGTGTAGCAAACAGAAGGAGACCAGCAGAGGGAAGAGAACCATCTGGAATACCAAATAAAAAGGTACAATGGAAATAACACTTCTATAAACCACAAGGAGCCAAGACTCAACTGTTACAAAGGCGTTTTCTAGCTTTAGAGCTCTGTAAGGCCTCAACAGGTGGTGACAGCAGTTTTGAATTCTTTCTTGGGCTGAATACCCACAGCCATGATTTCATCCACCCAAGGTATAAAGCCTTCAGCTCCAGTCCCCATCTGCTGTGCAACGAGTCCCAAACAGCTGAGAAAGCAGAACTCTAAAAACCGACTTCTCAGCAAACTGAACTATAAACCGTAATTATTTATTCTCAGACTCCACAAACCCTAAAGCAAAGAGTAACGCAGATCAATCTCAATCCTGAAGAGCAAAGACTAGATTTCTGGACCTAGGCCAATTCAACCTCTCAGATTCATCAATGGATAACAGAGGCAGGAATGTGACACTACTTTATACATTTAACCAATTAAAAGTAACAGACAAAAAGATAGTTTTCTCAAAAATAGTGCTGGGAAACTGGATATCCAAATGCAAATTGCACTCTTATCTCACTCTTAATCACATGCAAAAACTTTTTTAATGGATCAACAAGCTAAATATAATAACTTAAACTAGAAAACTTTTAGAAAGAAACACATGAGTAAATCATCTGATTTGGCAATGGACTCCAGAATGACACCTAAGTAGGAGCTAGAAAAGAAAAATTAGGTAACTTGGACTTCAGCAATATTTTAAAATCTGTGCATCAAAGGACACTATCGAGTGAAAAGACTACCCACAGACTGCAAATCACATATCTGATAGGGAATAATATCCAGAATATATAAAGAACCCCTACATCTCAAGAAAAAACAAATTACCCAATTTTAAAATGGGCAAATAACTTAGACTTTTCTCCAAATAAGATATACAAATGGCCTATAAGCACATGAAAAGATAGTGATCATTAGTCACTATGAATATTCAAATTAAAATCACAATGCGATGCCACTTTACACCTTTTAGAATGGCTATTATCCAAAACAACTGAAAACAGACCAGGAAGGACGTGAATAAACTGGAAGCTTTGTACCTTGCTGGTGAGACTATAAAATGGTGTGTCCACTGCGGAAGACAGTGCGGCAGTTCCTCAACAGGCTAAACACAGCCTCACCCTATTCTGCTCCTAGGGGTGCATCTAAAGGAACTGGGAACAGGGACTCTGAACAGACATTTACACAACAATGTCCACAGCACCATTATTCACAGTAGCCCAAACATGGAAACAACCGGAGAGGCCATGTCAACAGATGAACGGATAAACAAAACCTGGGGTATCCATACAACTAAGTATAATTCAACCTTAAGAGGAAGGAAATTCTAACACAGCTACAATGTGGACAAACTTTGAAGAAATTATGATAATTGAAAAAAGCCAGATACAAAGGACAAACATCCTCCCATTGCTCCTCTGTGAAGTGCCTAGAACAAGCCAATTCATGACGACAGAAAGCAGAATGGCGGCTGCCAGGGGCTGGGGAAATGGAAACGTTTATTGCTTGATGTTTATTAAGTTTCTAATTGCCGTAGTGAAAAAGTTTTGGATGGTGGCAACGGCTGCACAGCACAGTGAATGTGCTAAATGCTGCTCAACTGTGCACGTCAGAACGAATTTCATGTATATTTACCACACACACAAAAAATGTTTAACTTGCACGACATAGCAAAAGCAACTTTGACATCACATCATAAAACATGAGAAAATCGTTCTACAATTCTTGGTAACTGCCTTTGCGAGGGCCGGGGGGCAGGGAGGCCGGACTCGCACGCGCAAAGCAGAAGGAAGGGGCAGGCGGTACCCGAGGTCCTGACTCGAAGCCTCGCAGCTGCGGGAACTGTCTCCTGAGCCCATGCGTCTCCTCTTGCATGGCTGGGTCCCATCGTTTGAATTCTCCTCATGATCATCCTATACATTTAAAAGATTCAGAAAACAGTAAGAGGAAGATTAGTAAGTAAGAGAAGAATGATTATGTCCTTCCAAAAAGGCTCCATTCAAAGGCTTTTGAAAGACAACTGGTTATACAAATGTTAAACTTTCTATATAACTAAAAGGGGCCAAGAATTTGGCATGGTCAAGACCTGGAAAAAACTGCAAACTGACCTTCAATACAATCAAAGTAAGAAAATCTTCAATTCACCTGTAAATCAAAATCTACGTTTGCTTTCCTACCAAGGTTAAATGCTTTCTGCTTTAAATGATAAAATTGCAGGAACACTTAAAATCAAAGCAAACCCTCCTCCTACCCCAGTTTGGAAGAAACACTATGGATGCCATACTATTTCACTCAATTTACCAACTATTTTAGGTACGTATATCCCCGAGAAAAAAAGGGCACACAAGAACAAAAACAGGCTGCCAATCCTAACTGTTTTTCTTAAATGAAAAAACGTAGTAATAATATACCTTATAAGAGGCAGCAATCTACACAGCAACACACACTTCCCACCCCCCCAAAAAAGGAGAGACCTAAAATATTTTAAGTGACATTATCCATTAAGTGACAATAATATCAAGGCTGTCAAGTTGGGCCATTCCATTAAGGAAATGAAGGAAGTATCAAATGTTGGGAAATTAATTTATTCACGTTAGGTAAGTCTTAATGAACATAAGGCTTAAAAGAGATTTTTAAAAATCAACGTAATGTAGGCTAAGATCACAATTCTTTAAACTACCATGGTGCTCTTGCTATAGTATCAAAAGGAAACCAGTGCTGCAGCACACTGAGCTGTGAGGTCTACCGGCCAGACAAGCGGAAGCTGGACCGCCGGGGCTTTACTGTGCACTGGCCGGTCCCTAGCTGAGCAGCCATCCCGTCTGAGCGGCTCCTTACCTGCAAAACTGAGACTGTGACATGCTTGGCTAAGGCAAGGATGTCATTAGTTAATACTGGGGAGCACAGCGCCCAGTCAGTCAAGGTGATTCGGAGGATGATCACAGTCTCAAGACTCCAACTGTTGACATTTACTCACTCCTCCCCAAGTAGTAAAATACACAGAATATTCTTTTCAGGTCTTATAAATAAGCATTCTATTAAAGGGCTCTGTATATTCCTGTTCGGCGACCAGGTAGATTGAGAATAGTCTAAATCTCGTCCTCCAAAATTTGCATTTAAGAGTTAAGTATCACAACTGAAACACTTCATATTCGATAATTCAGGCATAACAGCTTTTAAGCATTCAGATACCACTTTTTCTATTTGCTTCCGGGTATTTTAAGTATTCTTACGTCAGTTAAGTACATTTCCCTCGGCTGAAAAATCGAGTCACTCAAAAAGACACAAAGTCTAAATAAAAACAAAGCCCTCAAAAGAGCTGGGGCCAACGGGGGAGGGGGGGCCGCGCTCCGAATCCGCGGACACCTGCCCGCCGCCCGCCTTCCCCACCGCTCGGCCCGCGACCTCCCCGAGCGCCGCGAGCGGCCGCCCCCCGCGCGAGCCGGTGCAGGGTGCCCCGAGTTCAAGTTTCCGCGGGACCCGGGCACCGCCAACTTCCGCAGCCACAGCGGCGACCGCTGGCGTCCCGGGGCCCGCCCGCCGCCCTCCCGCCCGCAGGCCCGGCCCGCCGAGGCCGCCGCCAGGCGCCTGCTCACCTTCGGGGACGGCGCTCCGGGGGTGGCCGGGTCGCTGTCGCACGGCCGCGGGGACTGCGCCGTCCCGGGGCCGGCCACCGCCGCCATCAGCCCGAGCGCCCCGCGCCGCCGCCGCCGCCGCCGCCGCCGCTTCGTCCCGGCCGTTGCCGCCGCCGCCGCCGCCGCCGCCGCCGCCGCGCGGGCCGCCCG